TGGATGTCAACAATCTTTAAATCAATTAGTCCTTATTCCTCCTCCATTTACTCTTCATTGATATCGATCTTACAAAATAGAGATGAACATAGGTCATACTCCACATAGAGGTTTCTCTGGCAGTTGCAAAACCCCTTGCAAGAATAGGTTATATGCATACACAACTTATGCACACACAAAAAAAAAAAATGAATCATCATCAGTTATAGTTGAAATTTCTTTTTCTTACCTCACCATTCAGTCCACGTTATCCATGCATTTTGTACTATTCATAACTAAGCTTTGAGCAAAGATAGCTACATTATGATAGAACCCTTAAACTCCACAGTGCGTGACGCAAAATTACACATACATCAATTATCTATGTCTCTATGAAGAAGTCATGTAGCTTTATACATCAATTTCTTCCTCAGAAAATCAAGGTTTTCAACTCCAATACAGGAGACATCCAATAACAAAAGGGATTAACCATGAAAAATGATTGTAATATCAATAACAGCCTCTAATATATAAAAGAACTCCAATACAGAATGAGAAGGGTTATGTATCACAAAAACTATTAACGTTCCTAATGTTTCTTAGGCATTAAAATTAAGTACTGAACTCTTTTTTCTTTCCCTTTTAGATTCAAATGCGCTATGTGATTACAAAGAAATAATAACCAACAAATGTATAAAAATCCAAAAGTATATACATCTGGAAACAACAAAGCAACTCATTGATGTAGATAAGATCACAACTCATGTACCGAGTAAAAGAAGTTTCTGAATATGCTACTCTGCTTTCATTTCTCGCTCTATTCTTCTCTTTGCTTCGCAATCAAAGAATACAAAATAATTCAAACAGAATGAAATGGGGGTTGGCTCATGAACAAAAGTAAAAAAAGTAACATTGCAAAATGGTTCCATTTCAACATAATAAGATTTCAGCAACAGAAACAACCTGTGCATTCTCTATAGCATCAGCTCGATAATGCATGGTCTATCTCTTTCAAACGAAATTCACCAAAGAAAACAGAAAAGTTTTGAACTTTACCAATGCATCATATAAACAAACAGCAACCTAGGGAAACAAAAAGAACTTGAAACGCCGATCTAATGAAATTAACCTTGAGAGCTATACCAATCCTCCTAATTTAGGTTAGAGAGAAACATAAACTGACAAAAGATGGAGATAAAAACAGAGAGGAAGATGAAGGGGGCGAATAAGAAAGAAGAGGAGAATGAATCGTCTTCTCGTTGTCATCAAATAGATCTTCCGGTTGTTAAGAAAACCTCAATTCTGAAAATCGATTAATAAAACATATCAATAAGTCCACAAAAAAAACAGGGGGAGATTGCCCAAAAATTACAAAACCCAAACAAAAATCCTAAATCACAGACTTTCGTTATCTTTTTCTAACGGCTGCCGCTTTAAACTTCTTGCCAGATATTTATCCCCATCGCCAGATTCCTCTTTTAATGGGATGGTGAATGAGGAGAGTCTTCACTTGCTTTGTATGGTTTTACTCTCTTCTTGCCGGATCTCATCAATCGGATATAAAAGAAATTAGGGATTTCATTTAATAAGATTAAGGAAATCCAAAAGAAAGAATCATTGTATCTCAGCAAAAGCAATTAGAATTATATTTTACCATAACTTGAAATTTACCGTGTGGATTTAAGCAAGAACAAAAGGCACTGGGACAGCGGGACTCCTTGTAAATGCATCGCCGCGCCACCTTTTCTTGTAGTACACCACCATCTTCATCCGCCGGAACCATACTGTTCTATTTTTTCAGATGTTTCACTAATCAATTCAAATTGGGCAGCGAAACTGAGTGGGCATGATTTTTTTTCTTCATTAATGAGAAATTGAGTGGGGAGCGAAATTGGTTTTGAATGTATTAAAGAGGATTGAGAGATTAATTTACTATTGGTTGTGCGTGGCTTTGATTAGAGCAAAATTTCACCTCCTCCAAATTTTCAGAATCTCCCATCGATGGTGCTCGTCCTTGGGATTCACCAAATTCACCAAGTGAAGGGATCTTTTTAAATTTTTGTAGAATCATCTTGGTGCCTGTGATGTTTGAAATTGAATTTTTTCAAATTGGAAGATTTCGGATTCATCTGGATTGAGAGAGACTGAAGGATAATAAAAAAATCTTTTTGAAATTTGATTTTACTAACTCAATATGAGGAGATTACGAACGTCAAAAGTTAGTGCCGTGAAAGACACAAATCTAAAATATTGGTAGTAATTTGGGGGTATTTTTTTCGGGCTATTGCTGAAATTTAGTATTGGGGTTTTTTACAATTCTATCTTTTTTTTTCTGAATAGTTAGAATGCCACGTGTCAAAAATTATTTTGTACTGAAAATAACTTTTGGTGGGAAAATATTAAACGTGGAGTGTCACTGTACTTTTTTTTGCTGCTTTAATTAAGTACTATAGATACTATAGATAGATTGTCAATTTACTATAATCGCAAAAATTTTGTTATGAGTTTGGCATAATGCTGTAGTTCGTTGGTGTCTAAACTTTCTTTGGTAGCGTATAAGAATAGTTTTTAAAAAATAATTCTTAATCAATTAATTTCGTTTGTTTAAAGTTTCATTGACTTTTGATCTTTTTAGCATGGATACCTTCCATTTAATCAACTATATATAAAGGGTCATATCGTCCAGTTTTTCCATCAGATCCATTCTTCTCTAGGGTCTAATCCATTGAATCTACGTAGTTATATTATGAGTTAGCACTCTGTCTGGAACAATTAAAAGTGCTCTTACAATATATAAGTGTCTGATCAAACACAGTTTCATATCACAAAAAGTAAAAAATAATTCATCAAATAACTATATATAGAGGAGACTGGATGAAGACCTTAGGTTGCTGTCCCTTTGTGTTTTCTGTGAGTTGTGTCACTCTGTCACTTGCATGAGTCAATCAATCAGTCTTTCTATTTAGTTTGTTGTTTTTAGTCAAATCAATTAGGGTTTATTAGGATCTCACCCGTCACTTTGGGATCGAATACTATCTGCAGTTTTAAGGTTATTTTATTTTGGTGACTTCGATAGCCTTCAGCGATTCATCTAAACCTAATGTTGATGCTAGAGTGGACAACAACCCTTTGGGGTTTCAAACAAGGATCACATGAGAGATCGAAAAGCAAAAGATTATGTTTAGAACAACAAAAGATTATGTACTACTAAATTTAACTTCTTTTTTTTTTTCTTTTTCTTTTTCTTTTTTTTTTGCAAGAGCATAAATAAAACATTTTGTCTGTCCTAAAATATTATGACACAATAAATTATACTTTGAGATGTAGCAAATGAGAAGCTTTTATTAGTCTTTGGAGCTTAGATATGTAGAGTTCAAATGACCATGATCAACGAGTCTCGATTTTTATTTATTTTTTTTATTTCTTGTATCGATTGATGAAGTGAGTTTAGTGAGTAAAAAACTAGTCAAAAGTACTTGTCGCACATGGAGAAATTATAACACTAGAAACCAACATATAAGTCCCATGCGCAACTCGCATTATTGCCAACTAGTTTGAGGTGGGACCACATGTGGGGTTTTATAGACCATTTCCAGATGGTATCACAGTGGGCTGTGCGACATATGGATTTGTAGGTTGACTTGTGATGTAAGTGTACTGGCCAACAGTGTATCAGAGTTATACAGCTCCGAAAAGGACTGGTCCAACCTCTTTGGGCTTTAGAAAAGGGTGTTGAAGTGAGTGTGGTTAGTGAAAAACAAGTGAAAGACACTTGTCTCACATGAAAAAATTGTAACACTTGAAATCACATATAAGTATCATAATGTGATACTCCACTCATTGTCACTTAGTTTTGAGATAGAACCACATATGGTCTTATATGATCATTTGAAGATCGGTAAAGGATACTTGATTGGGCTAGGTCTTGAATTCACATTATTGACAAGGGAAGTCTTTTGTTCTTTTTTTTTTCTTTTTTTTTTTTTAATTGTGGAGGCTTGTTTTATTTGCTGGCATGAAGTGCATGGATAAGTATTTAGACCTAATGATTTATATTATAAAATTTAGGAAGGTCCTACATTCATAAGCTTATAGTCATTTTTGTTCTCTGCAACGATAATTAACTATATTTTCGGGACATTATTTAAAATATAAGAATCTCATGGACTATAAAGCCATATCAGCTACACAATTGCATATTAGTGAAACTGATAAAGTAAATAAAAAAAATATATAAACTAAACGTGCATTCTCGCATCAGATTGTCAATCTTACATGTATATGTAGGACACACGTTAACAAGTTTATGATTATCTTTTATCCTCAACGTACCTCACAAGACAAAAACATGATTGAAAACTAATTATTGCACGTATCAGCATATATCAGCAATATTGTTTGATATATAGTGTAGAAAGAAGACAAAAAACAAGAGAAAAAAAGGAGAAAGAAATGACACAGGAGTATTATCAAGAAGCTATTAATATGTCCATATAAGGTATATTAATCAAACTTTCCACGTCGGTAAAAAAAACACAAGCTTCAATCCTAGGAGATGAAAAGGCCTTGCGGAACAATTATTTATTGATTTATTTAATGTTTATTTTCAGGTTTACTTTGACTAATTACCTCAAATAGCTGGAATAGGAGCAGTTAGCACTTGATCATTGTACAGTTGGAAAGCTCTCCGAATTTATTTCAACAAGCAAGAAGTGGTTGTTAATTTGGAATTTTATTGCAGTAAATTATTGTCAATTTACTATAGTCACGAAAATTTGGCTTCGAGTTTGGCATAATGGTGAAGTTCTATTGGTGTATAAACTTTTGGTGATGTATAGCTCGAATAGATTTTCTTTTATTGTTTTCCTAATCAATTTGTTTTTATTTGCCTTGTGATGATCTTTTTAGCATTGATGCCTCTCCATCAATCAACTATAAATAAAGGGTTACACAGATCAATATTTCCATCACACCTATTCTTGAATCCTCACTAATCAACTTAAATCATGAGAAAATTCAACATGTCTAGTCTCGCCGTTTCAATCTTTCTTCTCTTTCTCTCCAATTCTGTCCAAGAATTGGAAGTAGCATTTGCTGCTAGATTTCCTCCCAATTCAGTTGCTTCCTCTCAACTAGAGTTTTGGTCCGACAATGTTGTCAATCCAATGCCTGAATCAATTGAATCAAAACTCTCTTTATTATCCAACCAAGATTCTGCCCTAACTTCTTCTTTTACATCAAACCAAGAATCCTTCAATCAGAATGGATTTTGCTCCAAAGCCAATTTGGCTTGCACCCCATTATCAGAAAATACTTTAGCTACGATCGAGGCCACTCGAAATCTAAGTGGATATAAAGTTTCTATTAGCAGCAAAGCTTTTGATTTACATGATGAACATGCCTCCTCATCACTTGACCCCAACTTTTTCTTCAGGCTTTCATCAGTTCTTCAAAAAGGGAGACGAGTCCAAATTCCGAGCTTTGATAAAACAAGTCTTCCTCCTCGCTCATTCCTTCCGACTAAAATAGCATCCAAAATATCCACCACAGATTCAGCTGATCTCCAGAAAGTTTTCCCGAACTTATTCGCTTCCGAGCCAATGAAAGAAACCATCGAAAGAAGTATCGGGTATTGTAATGTTCCAGCCCTAAAAGGCGAAACCAAAACATGTTCCAACTCATTAGAGGACATGATAGAATTCTCGAAAAAAGCCTTGGGGGAGAAAAAATTAATCTCACTGAGTACTGAAAGCACGAGAGGGTCAGGAAAAGAGCTTGAAATCGGAAACATCAAACAGTTCCACACTAAAATGATTGTGTCTTGCCATGAAGTTTTCTTTCCATTTGCCACTTACTTTTGCCATTCGCTTCCCTTATCAAATACACGTCTTTACGCAGTCGATTTTGTCGATCCGGAAACAAAAGCTCATGTTAATAGGATCTTGGCAGTTTGTCACTTGGATACATCTGAATGGCCAGCTGAACATATGGTTTTTAAGACCCTGAACATTTCTCCGGGACAAGGTGAGGCTTGCCATTGGTACAGAAAGGATGATCCTCTCTGGATTGGCAGCAACGGAGAGAAAAAGAAAGCCCAAACTTGGATGGAATCCTAGCCAAATAGTTGTGTAAATCATCATCTAAATTATTAGGTTGTTGTACCCCAGATATGGTTTACCTTGTGAACTTCTCAATCATGCAACACGTGTGCCGTACCATTTTCGACATTGAATCAATGTAAAATAAATAATGTATTTCAGTTTTCCGATGAAAGAAATGGTCATGACCTATGTATTTGTAAAATTATCCTGTTATTGTGAGTAATGAAGGTTTTTACATAATTTGTTCGTCATTAATAATATTGTTTTGCTTATTTTTATCATTTTCGGATTGATAAGACAAGTACTTATTATGTACTACCTCCGTCCCAAAATTTTGTACTAAAAGTAAAATCTCAAAATGGAGAAAAATTTTGGGACAGAGAGAGTATTCAGGACTAACGTCGTTGTTTTTACAACACGAGTATTTTTGTGTTTGTTTTTCTTTTAATATTATATATATATATATATATTTAGGATTAACATTGTTTTTACTAATCATATATGACTATAATTCAAGGAATAATGAAATTTGATTTTAAAATGTGCCTGGTTCCTGCATTAATGATAGGTTCACTAACTATTGTTAGTATTATGACATTTTCACCCATTTGTATCAGGGTTTGCACAGTAAGTAGTTGGGCTAAGTTGGGAGCCGTAAACAAAATTATCAAGTTAGCAATTCCCTTTTCCTATTCTTTGCCTAAGAAAGAAAAAGATTCTACCATGATTGTTAACATCAAATACTAGTTATGATTTTTATAGTAAGAGGCGGATGTGTAGTCTTCCTGTAGTGGTAATATTTGCCTTTTCCGGTCAGAACTCACCCCACAGTAATAATCTAAGCACTTTCCAAGGCATCAAGAAATGACTGTCTAAGAAAAAGAAAGGGCAGGAAGAAAACAATGACGAGCATGCAATAGTGTAATGTTTTGGTTGATGACGAAACCATTGAACTTAATCGACCTATAAAAACTCACTCTAATCGTATAGAGCGGAAGCCGAGGGATTGATTAATCCCAAAATCAGAATCTCCATTTCTTTGTTTTAACACGAGTTCAGGAGAAAAACGAAAATACCCGTGGTAATTGACGTGTCGTTCACTCTCTTCAACTTCTCCTAATGAACCAATTGTGATTACCAAAAACGCAAATTTTCTTTCCAAATGAAATTGTTTTGTTCCTCAAATAAGATTCTCTAATTTTCTTAAACGCATCTAATTTTCAGATTGACAGATATACATTACAAAATTATGACCGATTTGTTATCGTCATAATCTATACTAGATGCTTGCCCGGCGAATGTCCGGGATGCCGCTGTATTTTTAAATCGATTAAATAAAAATACGAATTATTCTTAAAAGAATAAAAAAAAATTGAAGAATAAAAAATTGATTGAAAGGGCAGAAAGTGAGTTATTACATATAAATCTATACCCAAATTTACAACATTTAATTTATAATAGTTAACTTATGCCCGAGTTTACATAAATCATAAACCAATATCTACAACAGAAGAATTAAAAAAAATCATCCTTAAAAAATCAAATTTCTTTAATGACAGCTTATTTTTTCTCTGTTGTGGAAAGAGATGTATTGATAATTGATGTCAGATTTTAAGTAATTGATTTAAAGGCACGGTGTGAGATGGGAGCCGAATGGAAGAGATGGTGTTTCACTTGATTTAAAGGGATTTCCTTACATTTGATTTTATCAACTAAATATTGTTGTTTTAAAGGATTATTGTATACCTATAATTAAGAGATTTTTATGTAGATATAATTAAGGGATTTCTGTATTTATCTATTCCATCTTTTTCGATTAGTTAGAGTGCCACGTGTCAAAAATGATTTTGTCTGAAAATGACTTTTAGCGAGAAAATTTTTATTGTAGTGCTGACACATGTCTTTTTTGTTTGCTGCTTTAATTAAGTACTATAGATTCCATTCAATTTGTTTGTACAGACAGGAGCAGCTAAAGCTAAAGACAATAATCTTTCGGCAATGTGACGAACCTGATAGAAATTACAATATAAATTGATTCGGTTGTTAAGGATTAGTATTTTTTACTTTAATCCTAAAATATTCATAACAATCCAACCATTAATCTTGTTTTTCTCTAATACGTTACTCCGTTACATCATTTTCTTGTTTTCATATCGAACAAATTAAAGCCACTAGGAAGTGGAGAATTAAATATTTTGCTACCTTCATACAGCGGGAAAAAAAAAGACGGGGAAGAAGACAAAACTCTAAATTATTTGTGCAAATGCTGTCACTTATTTATTCATTGAAACTAAATATTTGCTTATTTATAAAGAAAAATCCATTTATTTGCTGAAAATTGTCCACTAGCCATTTTTTTTTAAAAAAAACACAGTCAATAAAAGAAAACTTACAAGAGAGCATAATGTATTGTTGTGTATCCTTTATTTATACCTGCATGTATCTTCCGATCAAACGTTCAGATACCATGTAACGCAAGAGTTGTTACTCCAATCAACATTATATTACTCCTTTCGTCCTGAAATTATTGTCTACTTTGAGATTTCATTTTAAGTGCAATTTGAATTAGAAATGAAAATACAAACTGGGCAATAATTATAGGACGGATGAAGTACTCATTGGTTGGCTGATGAAAATACAAATTATGAATATAAGAATTAATTTAATGACTGAATCTTATTTCACTATTCCTGACAAACTAGCAAACCTGACCAAAAAAACATTTCCCCCCAAAGTACATATCACTGATAAACTTGTTATTTTGCCCATCTACTAGATTTTGTCGATCCGGAAACAAAATCTCATGTTAATAGGATCTTGGCAGTGTGTCACATGGATACATCAGAATGGCCAGCTGAACATATGGTTTTTAAAACCCTGAACATTTCGCCGGGAAAAGGAGAGGCTTGCCATTGGTACCGAAAGGATGATCCTCTCTGGATTGGTAGTAACGGAGGAAAAAAGAAAGTCTAAATTTGGATGGACTCCTCAATTAATAATTTTGAAAATAAACCTCTAAATTATTAGGTTGTTGCAGCCATAGATGGTCTTCTCAATCTTGCAACTCGTGTGCCGCACCATTTTCGATATGGAATCAATGTAAAATAAATAATGTACTAGTTCTGTTTTCAGCTGAAAGAAATGGTTATGACCTATGTATTTCTAAAGTTATCCTGTTATCGTGAGTAATGAAGATATTTACATAATTTGTTTGTCCTTAATTATTTTGTTTTGCTTAAATTTATCATTTACAGATTAAGACGACACGTACCATCATATTTTCTGTTCAGGAGTACTAACGCTGTTTTTACAACACGGTTTCTTTTTTTTTTTTTTTTTTGGGTTGGTTAATGCCCTAACTATGGTTAGCATTATGACATTTTCACCCTTGGACATAATCCAATGCATTAGAACTAGTAATTGGGCTAAGTTGGGGGAGCCGTAAATAAAATTATCAAGAGGGCAATTCCCTTTTCTATTCTTTACCTAAAGAAAAAGTTCTTTCTACCATTGTAGTTAACATCAAATAATAGTGATGATTTTATAGGGGCATTAACTACTAACGTACGACGGAAAACTAGACACACCGATAGAGTAAGATGTAGATGTATAGTCTTCCTCTGGTTGTAATATCTCCCTTTTCCCATCAGACCTCACTCCACCGTAATAATCTATGCACTTTCTCAAGCATCAATAGATGGTTGTTTAAGAAAAGAAAGGGCACAAAAAGGACAATCACGAGAATGCAATAGTGTAATTAGGCCTGAAGACGAAACAATTGAACTTAATGGACCTATAAAAACTCTATGATATACATCGGAAGACGAGGGATTAATCCTCAAATCAGAATCTCCATTTCTTTGATTTAACACGACTACAGGGAAAAAACGAAAATAGCCGTTGCAATTGATGCTCGTAGTTCGTTCTCTTTAACTTCTTCTAACCACTTCCATTTTCTTGTAGGCGTTGTCTCACTTTAATCGTTTCATTTTCTGTTCTCTAATACGTAAGTTAAATAATTATACTTCAACAATATACTAAATCGTACTAATAAAAGCAGATAGGAGGGAATTGCATTTGTTGTCTCGGCACATTAGTTTCTCTCAACTTCTCCATCTACCATTTTATTAAAAAAAAAAAAAAAACTCCTCTATCTACTCAACTCCCATTGCTACTTTCTTCCGTGAAAATCTTAATTTTTGATCGATCTTCTTTCTCCTCCTTTGTTTCTTAATTATCTCTAGTTTCATGTTCTATCTCTACATCCCACGTCAAATGGGATGAAACAAAAACTTTGCTATGGGAGTAAAATCTAATGAGCTAAGAAAAAGTCGATATGTGAAAAAAAATTTTTAAAAAAAGGAAATATAGTGGAAAAAACACATATAGATGTTCAAATAACCTACAATGTTTCTTCTTCTTTATCTCTCCTTTTCTTAAAAAACACCTACTATTCAATTTATTCTGTCGGTTTCCTTTTCCGCCACATTCACTTGTTTTTTTAATTAAAAACGTTAGTTGATACATTATTGTTTTACATTCTCAATACCTTTTTATATTTCCGAAAGAGAAAACACGCACGGAAAATATCTGTAATCTTTTTTTTCTTACCTTCTTACAAATTTTCAACAAACTCAAGGTTCTTTTTGTGCAAACAGGAAATTATTGATGACTAGAAAGACAAATTTTCTTTCAAAATGAAATTTCTTTTTTCCTCAAATAAGATTCCATAATGTTCTTAAACGCATATTTTCAGATTGGTGATATACATTACCAAATTATGACTGATTTGTTGTCGTTATGATGTATATTCCATTTAATTTGTTTGTCCCATGTAGGAGAAGCTAAAGCTAAAGACAAAATCTTTCGGCAATATGACGAACCATCCATCTTTGATTGAAGTTACAATATAACTTGATTCGGTTGTTAAGGATTGGTAATTGGTATGTTTTATTTTATTCCTAAATTATTCATAACAATATGAATAATTTGTATGTCCAGTCTTATTTTGGATAGATTTGTGTAAATTTATTCATTGTAAACACAACAATATGATGATAGTAACCTGTTATAAGTTGTGTTTTAGACTGTTTCTTCGTATTGTCAAATGCAATTGGACGATTTTCAACATATAAATGAAATTTTTCTTCTAAAAAAAATCATAACAATCCAACATTAATCTTGTCTTTCTCTAATAGATTACTCTGTTACGCCATTTTCTTGTTTCCATCCCGAACAAATTAAAGCCTCTAGGAAATGGAGAATTAAAAATTTTAGAAGAAAAAAAGAGAGAAGAAGACAAAAATCTAATAAATTATTTGCGTAAATGCCATCACGACGAAAAACTGTAATAAACTCTAATACCATCACTTTGTGGTTCTTTTATAAGTATAGAGAAAATATTCATTATTTATTTATTTTGAAAATAAAAAATCCATTTATTTACAGGAAATTGTCCACTAACTATTTTTCTTTAAAAAACACACACACACAGTCAATAGAAGAAAACTTACAACAGAGCATAATATATTGGTATGTATGCTGTAACTAAACCTGCATGTATCTTCCGATCAAACGTCCATATATACCATGTAACGCAATAGTTGTTACTCTAATCAACAATATACATATTACTAATTAGCTGATGAAAATACAAAATCATGAATCTAACAAATTTCCTTAGATCCATATGATATTATGAATAAATCTTCTTGCACTTTTCTGACAAACTAGCAAACCTGGCCAACAAAAACATCCCATCCCCCCCCCCCTCCCCACCCACCCACCTAGTAAATATCACCAACAAACTTGTTATTTTACCCAACTACAAGCAAAAACACTCTATCCCTGAGAAGCTCATTTTTTTTTTCAATTTTTTTTTTTTTGAGAAATCGATCCGTTCATTTAAACTAAAGTAAAAAACAATCGGACAGAATAGAGGCAGAATAGAAGAGAGGGATATAAAATAAAGGCAAACAGGGTTTTTTGGAATATTAAGTGACATCATTTATTGGTCCCATATAATTAACGGTTGTCATTGTCTGTAAAACCATTCTTTCTTATTTTTCCCGATGTTATCTTCGAAGCCCTCGTATCATCGGAAAATTCTTGATGGACAGTATGATTTATTTCTATAGTCGGACAGGAAAGGTTTTTTTTTTTGAGAATTGTACCTTATTAATCAGATTAGAAAGGATGGTTATACATGTGGAGAGAAGCTCTAGTTATGCTGTTTACATTATCCACTATTGTTCTAATTAAGCATTTTAAGGATCTACAGCTTCCTAACACTATGAGAAACTTATAAGGCCAAATAAAATCTTACTATTTGCAAGAGTAAGAATTCTAATGTCAACAACTACGTAGTATGTATGCTTCTAGCACTATTCATTGATTATTTGAATCATATGTCGCTGCGGGTTTTATTTCGTAAACAAATTTTCTGAATACAATGAAGAGAACAATTATTTTTTTGAAACACTCACTTCACCCATAATGGGATTTGATTCAAACAAGAATCAGACGGAGGAAAATACATCAGGAACTAAGTATGCTACGTAAAGTTTCCTCTTGTAATGTTGTTTTGCAAAATAATCTTAATTGGAAACATACAAAAATAGCATGCATGCCTCTCTATTCCTTCAACTATAAATACATGGTTATTACACCTCCATTTTCCCATCATAACAATACAATTCTCACTGATCAAGTTAAATCATGAGAAAAGTATTCAACATGTCTAGCCTTGCCATTCCAATCTTTCTTCTTTTCCTCTTGAATTTCTTCTCTCAAATGGAAGTGGCATTTTCTGCTACAATTCCTCCCTCAGTTTCCTCCTCTCAACTTGAATTCTGGTCAGAAAATGTGGTCAACTCCATGCCAGAAGCATTTGCATCAAAACTCTCTCCACTGTCTGACCAAGATTCCACTCTTAATTCCTTCTTTGCTTCTTCCGCATCTACTGCAGAATCCTTTAATACTAAAGGATTTTGTTCCACGGCTAATTTGGCTTGCACCCCATTACCAGCAAGTATCTTAGGCGTTGTCAAAGAGACAGTAATTCTAAGTGGATATGGAGTTTCCCCTTATAAAAGTCGTATTAATTCACATGATGATGATGGATCAGTTGATCCCAACTTCTTCTTTAGGCTTTCACCAGTTCTCCAAAAAGGGAAGCGAATTCTGCTACCAAGCTTTGATAAAATAAGTCTTCCTCCTCGTTCATTTCTTCCTTCCCAAATTGCAACCAGAATATCCACCACGAATTCAGCTGATCTCCATAAATATTTCCCAAATCTATTCGCTTCCCGGCCTATGAAAGAAACCATTGAAAGAAGCACCAGGTATTGCAATATGCCAGCTAGCCCCGACCTAAAAGGCCAAGGCAAAATCATAAACTGTTTTAGTTCCATCGACGGCATCATTGATTTCTCGAAGAAAGCTTCGGGTGCGAAAAAGTTGCTCGCATTGAGTACGAAAAGCACAAGAGGGTCAGGAAAAGAGCTTGAAATTGGAAACATCAAACAATTCCATGCTCAAAAAATAGTGTCTTGTCATGAAGTTTTCTTTCCATTTGCGACCTACTTTTGTCATTTGCTCTCTTCATCGAAAGCTCGCCTTTACGCTGTTGATTTTGTTGATCCTCGAACGAAAGCTCATGTTAACAGGATCCTGGCAGTATGTCACATGGATACATCAAAATGGCCAGCTGAACATATGGTTTTTAAGACCTTGAAAATCTCTCCAGGAAAAGGCGAGGCTTGCCACTGGTACAGAAAAGACGATCCTCTCTTCATCGGCAGCAATGGAGGAAAAAAGAAACTCTAAATTAGGGTTTTTCACATATCAATAATGATCACTATCCTCTATACTCGTACTAAGTTGTTGCATGCATGAATGATGTACGTATTTAAAAATTCCTGTGTGTGTGTGTGTGTGTATGTGTGTTTCCTTTTTACCCATTTCGATGTTTCCAACAAGTTAAAATTCCAGTGTGAAAAAAGAATTTAATGTAAAATATAAATAATCTACTTCCGTTTCCATCTGAAAAAAAGGGTCGAAATATGTTTTTTGAGATGGTCGAAATAATCTACTTCCATTATGGATTTTGAGTTACTTTGGAAATCTGACTCATATCATGAAGGTCAGATGTTTATGATGTGTTTACCTGTTCATCTTTTGATTCTTTTTTTTTCTCGCTTTCTGTTCCTTTTGGAATCAAGACTTCACCACTACATTCATATTGCACACACATGATTTATAGTGTCATACTATACTTTTCAACAAGAAAAGAGGGGGTTTGGAAAAGATACATCATGGTTTTTCCAAGTTTTAAAGCATGTCTTCTGTTCGAAATTATTGTCAATTTTGGATTTTTCATTTTAATAAAAATTGAAATAAAAGTGAAATATGTATGTTAAGTAAATAGGTACTCACAATTCAATCTATATAACTCTTCTGTGTCCAAAAAAAAAAAAGTCCACATTGAAATTTAAGATTTTTATTATTTTTTAAAAAAATTTAACAACTCAATGCAGAATTTCGTTTGGGAAAAGAGAAGTATAATTAGTACAAATCACAAAAATAAGGTGATCTTTTTTTGTTGACAAGGGAGCATAATTCACATTCTGAACATGATCAGGAAATTGCGAACGAACACATTTAGTATTCACGGCAAAAGTTCTATAATTTTATTTCGGTGGCCATCAAACTATGACATACGGATTTTCAATATACTTCGTATCCGTGTAATCAATGTGTACTAGGTTAAGAGGAAAGAATATATTTAATAGTTCGTACTAGGTCTGTGGCAGAAAAAGTTCCAAGAAGAAAAGATTTAGGCGATGTGACGAACCATCCACCGTGAGGGAAAAAAATACATTGCCACTGTTTTTATTATATTCGGTGTGACATCAGTTAAATAATTAATCCTATTCTCATTAATACAAATATCCTAACAAAATAATTTTTACTCTATTATGAAATTACTATATAGTTTAGATTTTCATGTTAAGTACAAATTAAATTATAAGTGAAAATCTTAACTGAAAATAATTTTAGGATAGAAGGAGTGTTAACTAAACGCATTAGAGCAAGTAATCAGACATCAATTGTTTACATAGTATCTCACTAAAGTGTCAGGCAACATCTTTTGTCAAACTACACATATTACGCCTTCTTACTTTGCTAAAATTGAACGAAAAATACACCATAATCATATATTTGTTGAATTAAAATAATATAAGAATCAGAATTATTTTTGTGAGGCCTAAAAATGTCAATTAAATTTGGGTGGTTCCTGATTGGCAAGTTTTATGACAAACCAACCATTCTTGTTTTTTCTCCAACTTATTTCGATAGTTTATATCATTTGCATGTTTCCATCTCCCAACCAACTTAAAGCCGCCAGCAAGTGGTAATTAAATATTTGAGCAACGGAGGAAAATTAATGGCTGATAATTGATGAATAAAATCACAGCTCTTCATATCTACATCTAACCTGATGAGCTTGTTTCGGGAAATACATTTTTGAAGGCATTTTATCTGTAATTTTATTACTATTTCGGTCCAAAAAATTGTTCACATTGAATTTTTGAGATTTATACTAATTTTAGAACCAATTTCAAACTCAATGTGCATTATTTTTTTTGGACGGATGTGGTATAATTGTTGATTAATTATAGCGGAGACTTTAAATAACCTATGTACCCATTCTGCCACTTTTTAGAGTAAAGGAAGATAATTAATTCACCAATTGGATATGCATGTACATCATCATAAATTTCTTAAACAAATGTAACGTGTGACATTCATATCTAAATGGTTTAGTGATAGAATCCATAAATTATACTTTAATTGTTATTATTTTATGAGTTTATGGACTTGGATGGTTTTAATTCATTAAGTTTTATTAATGTTTTGTGTTAGGAACTGGAAATCGGAGGTTGCTACTTTTTGGAGCTAATTGATACAAAAAGGGACTGAAAAAAATCATCCAACTTAAGCAAAGGGAGAAGTTTACTCCAATGATGGACCTAATTACAAAATATTGAAGTTGTTGGGAGAAGAAGCTGCTAATAAGAAACTTTATGGACTGAATTTTATCATTGAAGAAAGTTTGGACCAATTGTTGAGAGGCTGAAAAGTTAGAGGACTAATTCTGCAATTTTGACCCTTGTTTTAATAGTTGCGGCTGACCTAATTCTATATAAAGGCCGCAGGTTTTTCTTGTTTTGGCCGTCGTTTTTTTTGTTCGAAGAAACAACAAGAGTGCGAAGCTTTTTCTTTTGGCTTTGGAGGTCAGGGTTGTCTCCGTTTCTCCGGGTTTTCAATTCTTCTAGACTTGGTACTATTTTTCTATGAATAAATTAGCTATCATGTCTATGATCATGAGTGGCTAAGGATTTTCTTTCTGATTCAAAGGATTTATTCAATTATTCCATTATGAGGTTTTGTTCTTAATTTATTGTTCTTCCTATGATTTAAGTATTTGTTGATTCTTATATTGAGTTATGAAAGTAGATATCATTCAAATTGACAACTAAGATTTGTTATTTATTTTCTCGTGCTATCTGCTAGTTGAATGTTACGTAATAGAGAAGAACTGGCAGTACTGAGTAGCAATTAGACAAAGCATGTGTATTGGTGAGACATTGAATATGCATGTTAGTTTAAATGTGGAATCAATGAGTCAAAGTCTGAATAGTTGTAGCTATCTCAATTGTTTAGATTTTGGTTCAACTATATTTCCTTGGTTTTTATGCTATCATTGTTTGGTATGAAACGCTATCGTGCCCAGCCGAATTATGATAAGGATTAATTGAGTGCTAGGCTTGGTTAGTTAATTTAGGGAGATTAATTGATTTATTACGGCTATCCTAATAGATCTTTGGTTGAATGCTTAAATTGCAAGAGTAGTTTTAGTAGCCTATGATTAATGAAATAATTGAGTTATCCGTTCCTTGAGTCGAAGTCATTACTTTGATTTCTTTTCTTTTATTTAGTTTTCGTTATTTGTATTTCATTATCTTAGTTTAGAAAAACAATCCAAAAATCTCCTTTGCATTAATTTGAAGGAAACAATCTATCGTTCCCTGAGGAGACGACCTTACTTCCTTATATTACAGTAGTTTGAAGTAGGTTATTTTATTTGTGTGGCTTGACACTCCATCAAATTGGCGCCATTGCCGGGGAACGGTGTTAATTGATTTATTTCCTTTAAATTTTTGTTTTGTTTTATTTTAGTTTTTTTTTTCTTTTGCAATGGACTCATATGCACATCAATCTTGGAATCGACGAGATGACCATTGGAATAAAAATGAGGTAAGTTCATCGTATCTTGAGCAAATATTATTTGAACTAACGTCTCTTGTGAAAAATATGGCTATAGGTCAACAGAAACAAGTCCAAAGATGCGGTATTTGTTTAATGACTAGTCATACTAGCGATTTTTGTCCAAAATTACCATACTACCGGTGGGAGGGTCAGAATGCCATGAGAGAATCTTGGAGATCGCCACAAGAAAGATACGAACATCGTTCATATTCATATGATCCAGGCTGGCAGGATTATCAGAATTTCAACTATGAGTATCAGCCATCTCAGCCACAAGTGTATCATGTTTCGGAACCTCCACAGTCTCAAAGCTCAGGTTTGTCTTTAGATGAGATTGTTAATACTTTGGCAACTAATACTCTTGAATTTGAACAGGAAACAAGGGTAAGCATACAGGATTTGGGGAGCCGAATTAGCCAGCTAGCTAATGCTATTAGCAAGTTCGAAGTTTCAAAGCCTGTGGAGTTACCATCTCCATCGGTAGTTAATCCTGTTGAAAGTGTGTATGCCATGAAAGAAGTGACTCCCAAAGATGATGTATTTGAGAAGAAGGTAGCGAAGGAAGTTGTTAGAGAAGATTCACGTTACATGATACTTCCTCCATTTCCGAGCAGATTCTCAAGGGCTGAGTTAGAGAAAATGAAATATCCTTTCATAGAACAGATTTATGGTGTGGAGACTGTACCTATTCAAAATGCAGAAGATTTGAAACATATGGAAGTAGAGAAAAATGAATCAGAGGCATTGGACGACAATGAGATAGTTGATCTTTCCATTTTATTTAATCAAACTAATGCAGCTGATACTTCTTTTTCAGATATGTCAGTAGAGCCAAAGATAGAGGAGCCCAAACAGAAAGTGATGGAGAACTTTTCTAAGAATGAGGTAGTAGTTGGAGAAGATATATCTGGTATGTTACAATCAAAATTTTCTTCCAAATGCAATGATCCAGGAATACTTTACCATGTTCTATTGCTGATATAATTGATGAATGGAAATCTCCAATACTAGAGTCAAAACCGCCACCGATATCTCTAGATTGTGCATATGGACATCTTCCTCGACCTCCTGAAATAGGACTAAAGATAGATGTAATTTTAGGAAGACTAGATAGATGTGGAGTGTTTAAAGAAACTGTTAGGGGGGGTTATTTTCCACCTCATTTTGCTGATTCTATATCTGCATTTGAATCTGAATCCAGTCCATCTAACTTTGATTTTATTGAAATTTGTTCAGGGTTTTATCATATTCCATTGTTAGGTGGAGTTTCAAAATTTCCACCTTGAGGCGCGTTTAATTGGTCTAGCCAAAGACAATAAAGAAAGGCGCTGTTTTGGAGGCAACCCAAAATGTTTAAATTTATGTTGTGTTTGATTCATTAGTTAGTTTTGTGATTTGGAGTTGAATTTTAATGTGTGCTTAATGTTTTAAGAAAAATAGTGTTTTGTAAGCATGATCATGGATAGGTGCATTTTAGGTTTGCTGGATTAATTTTTGCAAGTGTTGTTTTTTTTTAGGTGTGATTATGCCTAAGAAAGTAAGTGTTTGAATTTTTTTTATTTTTTTTTAACGCTTGTTTTATTGTCCAGGGCAGATTCGAACGACGCCGTAGACGTGATCACGTCTAACATGACATTCCCTATTTCGTTTTTTTTAAAAAAAAAAACCCAAAAATATTTTATTTTTATTTTTATTTTTGTTTTTTTCCTTTTCTGTTCTTTTCCAGGAACCCTAAATCCCAAAGTTGCAATCGGGCAAACCAAACTTCAATTGGATCATTGGCTAGCTTCTACTGCTATTATCATCGTTCGTCAATTGTTGTTTCGCACCAGCATCACCAAAAACATTTTTCAGGGAAGTGTTGCTCTTCCTTTTTATATCTTTTGCTACATTGCGGACAATGTTTGTTTTAAGTGTGGGGGGGATTTTAGGTGTTCTTGTCTGTTTGTTTTTTTTTATTTTAATGTTTGCTTATGTTTTATAAAAAAAAAAGAAGAAAAACATTGAAAAATGAAAAAAAAGTCAGAAAAATAAAAAATACCAAAAATAGCCGATGATGAACTTAACTTGAGACTCTATGAAATCTAATTACATTGGGACAAATATTTCTTTTGAGTCTATGCATTATGTGTTATACCCTGAATACTTTACTTGCGCACTTTATTCATAACTCTAGGATAAACTTAACATGTATGTGTAATTGCCTAAATTCATGTGATATGCCAAAGTTTGATTTGATTCATTCATTATTTGTACCATTTGTATGTGGGACCTTACTATATTATGAAACTCAAAATAAGGATTAACCCTATCATCACTTCAAACCCGGAAAACGGGGGAGTGGTGGTTTGAAAATAGCCTTTTTACCTTCTTGCTTAAAGTACTTTGTACTAAGTAAGTGTGAGGGAGGGGTTGTTGGCGGATGCTTTTTTGAGGTTAGGTACAATTTAAAGAGGGAGAAAAGGAAGGGCATTCAATTTTGATGCTAGCCCATTGATAGGTTAGAAGTTTGGCTAACAACTAGCAGAGTGTCCTCAGGCCCATCGGTGAGAAAATATGAGTAAGAAGACTGCCCTAAGTTGCTGAGCCACTATGTAAATCACTACATAAATCAAGTGGAAAAATGCTCTCGGTAGGGGCCTGAGTGGGAAAGATCCTGAAGAAAAGCCATATGGACACTGAAGAATGGGTACGAGGGAAGTGCGTTGAATTGTTTTATGTGAGGTGTAATTGTAAGCCTACGGTTTCATAATATGTGTAGGAGTAACATTGCATTGAAGTACAGTCTGAATTAGGGATCCTAAGTTCACTCTTCAGTGGCATATTTGCATTTGAATTTTTGTATTTTATGCTATATGTGATAGTGATGTCCCTATGAAGTGGTTTACACACACACACAAAGGGCTAAAGGGTAAAAGCACGTAATGTATTTGATTCGGTTGTGAATTGTTGTTTTATTATTACCATGATTTCTTTTGAGTGTTCAAGTTCCCTGAGGCGCATCATAAATAATAATTTGTTGGAAGTTTAGAATTCTTAGTTCGTTAATGCTTGAGGACAAGCATGCCTTAAGTGTGGGGGAATTTGATAGAGTCTATAAATTATACTTTAATTGTTATTATTTTATGAGTTTATGGACTTGGATGGTTTTAATTCATTAAGTTTTATTAATGTTTTGTGTTAGGAACTGGAAATCGGAGGTTGCTACTTTTTGGAGCTAATTGATACAAAAAGGGACTGAAAAAAATCATCCAACTTAAGCAAAGGGAGAAGTTTACTCCAATGATGGACCTAATTACAAAATATTGAAGTTGTTGGGAGAAGAAGCTGCTAATAAGAAACTTTATGGACTGAATTTTATCATTGAAGAAAATTTGGACCAATTGTTGAGAGGCTGAAAAGTTAGAGGACCAATTCTGCAATTTTGACCCTTGTTTTAATAGTTGCGGCTGACCTAATTCTATATAAAGGCCGCAGGTTTTTCTTGTTTTGGCCGTCGTTTTTTTTGTTCGAAGAAACAACAAGAGTGCGAAGCTTTTTCTTTTGGCTTTGGAGGTCAGGGCTGTCTCCGTTTCTCCGGGTTTTCAATTCTTCTAGACTTGGTACTATTTTTCTATGAATAAATTAGCTATCATGTCTATGATCATGAGTGGCTAAGGATTTTCTTTCTGATTCAAAGGATTTATTCAATTATTCCATTATGAGGTTTTGTTCTTAATTTATTGTTCTTCCTATGATTTAAGTATTTGTTGATTCTTATATTGAGTTATGAAAGTAGATATCATTCAAATTGACAACTAAGATTTGTTATTTATTTTCTCGTGCTATCTGCTAGTTGAATGTTACGTAATAGACAAGAAGCGGCGATCTTGAGTAGCAATTAGACAAAGCATGTGTATTGGTGAGACATTGAATATGCATGTTAGTTTGAATGTGGAATCAATGAGTCAAAGTCGAATAGTTGTAGCTATCTCAATTGTTTAGATTTTGGTTCAACTATATTTCCTTGGTTTTTATGCTATCATTGTTTGGTATGAAACGCTATCGTGCCCAGCCGAATTATGATAAGGATTAATTGAGTGCTAGGCTTGGTTAGTTAATTTAGGGAGATTAATTGATTTATTACGGCTATCCTAATAGATCTTTGGTTGAATGCTTAAATTGCAAGAGTAGTTTTAGTAGCCTATGATTAATGAAATAATTGAGTTATCCGTTCCTTGAGTCGAAGTCATTACTTTGATTTTTTTCTTTTATTTAGTTTTCGTTATTTGTATTTCATTATCTTAGTTTAGAAAAACAATCCAAAAATCTCTTTTGCATTAATTTGAAGGAAACAATCCATCGTTCCTGAGGAGATGACCTTACTTCCTATATTACGGTAGTTTGAAGTAGGTTATTTTATTTGTGTGGCTTGACACCCCATCATTTAGTACATTATACATACATGGGAAAAATAAAGCTAGCTATCCATTTCCAGTTTTACTCTCTTCGGTTCATAAAATGATACACATTATAAATTGTAAATTATATTATTTTTTTCTTAAGATTGAAAATTTGGAATGTTCATTATTTTTATGATACTAATGGGTACTATTATTTCTGTTTACAAAAGCTATACATTATCAGATTAGGTATATGATATAACAATAATTGGTTGCGTTACTGAATGTCATTGTAGTCTCTCTCTATCTCTCTCTCTTTTATCTTTTCCTTTTTTGTCCTTTTCTCCCCCTATTTTCCCACTAAAATTATCTTCGATTATTTTGCATGGAGTGAAATCCTTTCATGGACAATGACTACCTTACATTCACGGAGTTTCAATTAGGGAGCAAAATTTAAAAATTATATTGAATACACATTTAGATACCTCGAATCAGCTACAAAGAGTAACGTCGAACAATAAATATTAAAGACTTATTATTTAGGCTTAATACTTTCAGGTTGGTCCTGAGTTCTGATTTATTTAATCATGACAATTAAGTAATATTGGATTCTCTAGCCTCTAGGTGTAGTTTTTCCGGACCAAAATATACAAAGATTATAGAATCAAATAAATTATTTGAAGAACAGATCAAAAACTAATAAATCCGTTTCCAAATTGTCTCACGACGTTCTGAACTCAGCTCACGTACCGCTTTAATCTGCGAACATCCCAACCCTTGGAACTTACTACAGCCCCAGGTGGCGAAGAGCCGACATCGAGGTGCCAAACCTTACCGTTGATGTGAGCTCTTGGGGAAGATTGTGTCGGGGAAGAAAGCTTATGATGGGTACCTTGAACATTTTCTGCATCTCTATTGTCGACATGCATGAATGGAGTACACTAAATTAAGTTATCACCATGAATTACTTTATCCCCCATTCCCTTTCTACGATATATATGATCGATTTACTGATCATTAAGGTCTCTGTGTCAGTGTATACTGATCATACATTATTTTAAAATATTTTTGGAGCTAACGTGAACACAATGGAAATTTGGATAGAAACCACTGAACGTCTAATATTATACTAATTCGTTGCGGGGAATGAAATACCTTTATTTACATAGTTTATTATAGCAAATATTTGAAAGGAAGTTAATTAGCTAGCATAATAGTATACATGTCTGACTGTTACTCCAACTTTAAATTCAAGGATTATTTCATTTTTTTTAAAAAAAAAATTGTTTAATTATTTTTTATCATTACAAATAGAATCTTTATTGAGAAAATTATAATCATGAGAAGCTTCAACAAGTCTAACTTTGCCATATCCATTTTTTCATCTCATTCCCTGCTGTTTTCGAAATGATCGATTTACTCATGAAGTTCTCTATATCAATCTTAATATTTTAAAATATTTTTGTAACTTGCGTGAAAACATTGGAAATTTAGATAGCAACCCATGAACGTCCAACATTATACTAGTTTGCTGAAGGGTGTGGAACACTCTTATATTTTTGTATATATCTTTTGTTCCCAAATGATTATTTAGTTTGAATGTCCATTTTTTAACTGAAAATAAAAGTCTAAATTGGACAATCATTTCGAAACGGGAAAATTATTTCTTGTAAATTGATCTTCCTTCGGAAGGAAGTTATAAATAGCTAGCATAATAGTATGCATGTCTCTCTCGTGCTCCAACTATAAAATCAGGCATTATTTCCATCCATTTTTTACATCAGTACCAATACAATCTTCATTGATAAATTTATTTTCATGAGAAGCTTAAAAATGTCTAGCCTTGCCATATCCCTTTTTCTACTTTTCCTCTTGAATTCCTTCACACTAATGGAAGTGGGATTTGCTGCTACAATTTCTCCCTCCTCAGTTGCTTCCTCTCAAAAGGAATTTTGGTCTAAAAATGTGGTCAACGCTATGCCAGAAGCATTTGCATCAAAACTATCTCCATTATCCAACCAAGCTTCTAGAATGAATTCCTTATTAGCTTCATCCACAGCTAATAAAGAATCCTCAAATATGAATGGATTTTGTTCCGTGGCAAATTTGGCTTGCACCCCATTACCAAAAACTACATTACAAGTGATCAAGGAGACAATAGTTCTAAGTGCATATGGAGCTTCCCCTGACAATATGAATTCACATGTTGATGATGATGATGGTCAATCACTTGAGCCCAACTTCTTCTTTAGGCTTTCATCAGTTTTCCAAAATGGGAAGCGAATCCGACTACCGAACCTAGATAAAATAAGTCTTCCTCCTCGCTCGTTTCTTCCTTCCCAAATTGCATCAAAAATATCCACAAAAAATTCATCAAATCTCCAAAAATATTTCCCTACTTTATTCTCTTCCAGCTCAATGAAAGACACCCTAGAAAGAAGCACGAGGTATTGTAATATGCCAGCCCTAAAAGGCGAGATCAGATCATGTTCTAACTCACTTGAGGAAATGATAGAATTCTCCAAGAAAGCATTAGGGGTGACAAAATTAGTGTCACTGAGTACCTTAAGCTCAAAAGGGTCCGGAAAAGAGCTTGAGATTGGAAATATCAAACAATTCCACGCACAAAAAGTCGTTTCTTGTCATGAAGTTTTCTTTCCTTTCGCTACATACTTTTGTCATTCACTTATCTCATCGAAAACTCGCCTCTACGCCGTTGATTTTGTTGAACCTGAAAATAAAACTCATGTTAACAGGATCCTCGCCGTGTGTCACATGGATACTTCAGCATGGCCTTCTGAGAGTATTGCTTTGAAGGCATTAAAAATTTCTCCAGGAAAAGGTGAGGCTTGCCATTGGTACAGAAAAGATGATCCTCTTTGGATTGGAAGCGATGGAGCAAACAAGAAGCTCTAAAGTTTGAAGTCGGAATTCTCGCGTGATGATTACGATCACCGATGTCCTTGTAATTAATTATTTGCATGCATGAATGATGTACGTACTGTAAAATGTGTGTATCATTTATCAAATATGAAGTTTGTTGTCGTGTGTTTCCAATCAATTTCGATGTTTCCAAGTGAAATATCAATGTAATATAAATAATGAACTTTCATTTCCAACTGAAAGAAGTAATCAAGTTGTAGCGTTTTTTATTAGCTCGGAATTGTGATTGAAGACTGATCATTCAACGTACTTTTATATTTATTTGATATGTTCCATCATTGAATGTTCATGTTGGACTTCAACTAGTTCATAAAAATTTCACAATTATAACAAAAATTATACTATCTCTGTTTCAAAAAAAATATATATATATATTTAATATTTTAAATTTGTATATTTTTAATATAGATTTTAAAATTCAATGTGAACAATTTTTATAAAAAAAGAGTGATAAAAATATAAATCCCAACAAAACAGTCGATTTGGATCGCTCATGATTTTGGGCTCTATGTCAACTTCCATAGTTCGATGTCTGATGTAGAAAACATTTCCTTCTTCATCCCGGCCTTTGTTACTGTTTTTCAGCCCATTCAATGCATTCCACCCTTTTATTTCCCGACGCCGTGACCTACGATTTGTAATTTTCTGTCAGAATCCTTTTAATAAGTTTCTCTTTAATTGTAGCCACCAGCAAATAGAGTAGAACGAAGTCACAAAAGCATGAGAAAGAATGCTCCTCTATCGAGTTCGGAGTTAAACAAATGGAGCCACTTCCATTAGGGCCACGATCTCTATCGCAAACTTTTTCAAAATAATCATCCTCAAAAAAATTTTTCAGCAAAAATTATAATAAAACAATAAAAAATTCAAACAACGTAATCATTTTGAGACATAGTAATTTTGCCTATATCGGACATCCATCCCTTTATTTGTTACTTTGTTTAAAAAGCAAGAAAATATTCCTTGCGTTTGGAAAAAAATCTACAATTAGTTTAAATTTTGTACTAGTTTTAATAAAAATTTAAAAAATTAAACGCTGACTACTTTTTAAAAACGAGAGGAGTAATAATATTTTTTTTAAGTTACATTAAAAAAAATAATAATAATAATATCTGTTCACTTGTGTGGTGGTACTGAATTTTTTCGACTCTCCTCTGGTGTGGGCGAAAACACACTTACTGTGTGTCTTCGAGTCTGATATTTCCAACATGATTTCACGTTAGTTATGGCATGAAGATCCAAGAAGAGAGCTGAGGAAGCTGGTTTGGAAGCTGGAGAAGTATAGCCGCTGGAAGAAAGAGGAGATCCACGGGGAGAATTTACATCAGCTCAAGTGAGTTCTCCTAGATTGATCTCTCAATTGAGTAGCAATTTGAATGAAACATGTGTAAATCTTAGTACTAGAGAACAAGGAGAGAGCTCTGGAGTGAAGGATTTGACCAAGTGTCAAGATCTGAAAGATAAGATTCCAGTGGAAAATGTGTGGTCGAACTTTAATCCAAAAAAGTTGAATAAGGTGGAGAAAAAATTGATGTTTATAGAGCCTGTGGTGATGGAAAATAGGACGATCTGTCAAATTACTAAGCATGAGGTTGAATTGGAAGTAGAATATTAGAAAAATTTTGTGATCTGTTACATTTTGGGAGCAAGACCACCAATTACTGTGGTATCTGGTTTCATTCGTAGGCATTGGGGAAGGTTGGGGATAGAAACGATTGTGTTGCTGGAAACAGGTGTCTATGTGATTCGGTTTAAATCTGTGGTAACAAAAGAGGAGATGCAATAACATAATGTGTATCATTTTGATGGGAAACCATTTATTGTGAAAGAATGGAATGTAGCTGAGGATGTTAATATGGAGGAAATTAAGAAAGTTCCAGTTTGGATTCAGTTTCCTAAGCTACCACTGAGATACTGGAACCCTACTTCACTTAGTAGGATGGCCAGCATGATTGGAAATCCATTGGAGACGGAGGACATGACCGCATTGAAGGATAGAACATCATATGCAAGGCTGTTAGTGGAGGTGGAGATTTTTGAAAAAGTAAAGGAGAAGATATGGTATCAAGATGAGAAGGGAAATCTTCAGGAGCAGGTAGTGAGATATGAATGGAAGCCCATCCAATGCAAAAATTGCCATGGATATGGACATGAGATCACATAATGCAGAGTGCCTGTTAAACATGTTTGGAAGGAACTGAATGCACCACTGAAAGATATAGTAAAAATGAAGGAACCTGTGCAAGTTGTGATTGCTGTCCAAAGGAAAGAGACCATACATAGCCCTAGTAAGAAGGAGAATCAATCATCACCAAATGGTAGGAAATGTACAGGAAGCGAGAAACAGAACAAGAATGATCAATCCATTTGTATCATGAATCAGTAAGGCAGGAAAATTCCTAAAGGAAGGCAAAAGGAGAAAGTTGGTTCCATTAATAAGTTATGAGTGAACCTCAAAACAAGTCATCAACCTTTAATATATTTTCACTCTAAGTCATCAATTAAATTTATTTGTAACACAAGTTACCTAACTAAAGTTTTAATTCATTTCAGATTATTCTGTTAATTTTGGCCGTTAAATAGTGACGGAAATCCATTTTTCACATGCTTTTGGGTTCAGGGATATTTTTATCATTTTATTATTTTATTATATTTTTTTAATCTTTTAAATTTTATTTTATGTTTTTATAATTGTTCTTCTTATACTTCCTAACTTGCATACACTGGTAGTATAATTCTAAATTTTAAAAATTTATTTTCCTTTTGTATTTTAACTTCTAGATTATAAAATATTTTTAAAATAATTTAAGAAATGAAGAAGAAAAATTCGAGTTAAAGTAAATATTAAAATTAATAATTTACCATTTCAAACAAAAAGAAAAACTAAAAGAATTAACAAAGACAAGTTGTTTCTTCTAGGTTATTTAATTTTTTTCAACTCGATTGAATTATTTAATTATTAATTTTCACGTTTCTTATTCCTTTTTTCAACTCGATTGAATTATTTAATTATTAATTTTTATTTTTGACAATTAATTTGTTATTTGTTTATTAACTTGTCAACAAACAGCAGCTGCTAGAGACCGCAGCATTCGCATCTTGTGCTGCATCTACACAAGGAGTTAGCTTCATAGCTTCCGCATCAGGAGTGGATCTGGGACATTCCCCAGCCCCATTTGCTCCAATAAAGCTATAAATAACCATCCACCGTGAGGGAAAAAAATAAAAAATACATTGCCACTGTTGTTTATTATATTCGATGTGACATCATTTAAATAATTGATCCTATTCTCATTAATACGAATATCCTAACAAAATAATTTTTTTACTCTATTATGAAATTACTATATAGTTTAAATTTTCATGTTTAGTACAAATTAAACTATAAGTGAAAATCTTAACTGAAAATAATTTTAGGATTGAGGGAGTGATAACTAGACGCATTAGAGCAAGTTGTTTACATAGTATCACACCAAAGTGTCAGGCAACATCATTTGTCAAACTACACATATTACGCCTTCTTACTTTGCTAAAATTGAACCAAAAATACACCATAATCATATATTTGTTGAATTAAAATAATATAAGAATCAGAATTATTTTGTGAGGCCTAAAAATGTCAATTAAATGTGGGTGGTTCCTGATTGGCAAGTTTTATTGCAAGCCAACCATTCTTGTTTTTTCTCCAACTTATTTCGATAGTTTATATCATTTGCGTGTTTCCATCTCCCAACCAACTTAAAGCCGCTAGCAAGTGGTAATTAAATATTTGAGCAACGGAGGAAAATTAATTGCTGATAATTGATGAATAAAATCACAGCTCTTCGTATCTACATCTAACCTGATGAGCTTGTTTCCGGAAATACATTTTTGAAGGCATGTTATCTGTAATTTTATTACTATTTCTGTCCAAAAAAAATAGTTCACATTAAATTTTTGAGATTTATACTAGTTTTAGAATCAATTTCAAAACTCAATGTGGACTTTTTTTTTTTTGACGGAAGTGGTACAATTGTTGATTAATTATAGCGGAGACTTTAAATAACCTATGTACCCATTCTGCCACTTTTTAGAGTAAAGGAAGATAATTAATTCACCAATTCGATATGCATGTACGTCATCATAAATTTTTTAAACAAATGTAACGTGTCACATTCATATCTAAATGGTTTAGTACATTATACATACATTGGAAAAAATAAAGCTATCCATTTCCAGTTTTACTCTTTCCGGTTCATAAAAATGATACACATTATAAATCGTAAATTATATTATTTTTTTTCTTAAGATTGAAAATTTGGAATGTTCATTATTTTTGTGATACTAGTGGGTACTATTATTTCTGTTTACAAAAGCTATACATTATCAGATTAGGTATATGATATAACAATAATTGGTTGCGTTACTGAATATCATTGTAGTCTCTCTCTATCTCTCTCTCTTTATCTTTTCGATTTTTGTCCTTTTTTCCCCTATTTCCCCACTAAAATTATCTTCGATTATTTTGCATGGTGTGAAATCCTTTCATGGACAATGACTACCTTACATTCGCGGAGTTTCAATTAGGGAGCAAAATTTAAAAACTATATTGAATCCACATTTAGATACCTCGGATCAGCTAGAAAGAGTAACGTGGAACAATAAATATTAAAGACTTATTATCTAGGCTTAATATTTCCAGGTTGGTCCTGAGTTCTGATTTATTTAATCATGACAATTAAGTAATATTGGATTCTCTAGCCTCTAGGTGTAGTTTTTCCGGATTAAAATGTACAAAGATTATAGAATCAAATAAAATTTTTTAAAGAACAGATCAGACACTACAACAAAAATTAGTAGTTTAGATACTTTTTTGTGTCTCAATAAGTTTTGTAATAGGACACATGTGACTCAAATTGCGTGGGACACTACTAAATAGTGTCTCTTATAATCGAGTCACAATAAGTCATAAAACATTTGAAAGTGTATTATTAGATTGTCACTTATTAACACACTTTAAAGTGACCCATTAAGTAAGATAATAATTCACAAGCAACCCTAAATAGTACACTTATGATAGTGTTTCATAATTTGAATACACTTTTGCATTTTCAATAAGACACTTTTTAGCAAATGTCCTAATACACATATAATAAGACACATTTTAGGAAAAGTGTCCCACCATAAAAGTATTAATAGCCCATTTTTGTTGTAGTGAGAAACTAATAAATCCGTTTTGTGTCGGGGAAGAAAGCTTATGATGGGTACCTTGAACATTTTTCTGCATCTCTATTGTCGACATGCATGAATGGATTACACTAAATTAAGGTATCACCATGAATTACTTTATCCCCCATTCCCTTTTTACGATATATATGATCGATTTACTGATCATTAAGGTCTCTATGTCAGTGTTTACTGATCATACACTATTTTAAAATATTTTAGGAGCTAACGTGAAAATAATGGAAATTTGGATAGAAACCCCTGAACGTCTAATGTTATACTAATTCGTTGCGGGGAATGAAATACCTTTATTTACATAGTTTATTATTGCAAATATTTGAAAGGAAGTTACTTAGCTAGCCTAATTGTATACATGTCAAACTGTTACTCCAACTTTTTTTTTTTTTTTTTAAATGGAGTAAACAAAGAGCAAGATTTAGGTTACAAATCCACACACAAGAGTTATGTACACAAACTAGAGTACATAACAATGGAAGTGGCTTCAAGCCTTCAGATATTACAGTACGCAATTACATAAAACAACCTACCCAGGATGTGTTCTTCTTTGAATCAGCGCTACTGCTACCTAAAGCAAAGATACGACCATAGAAAATCATGGCTAGCTGTCTTCATTCTTCCTCTTCAAGAATTCAGGGCAATGTGTAAGCCCCACATTCGTAGCCAATTGGACGATCAGCTAGGTTGCAGCGCTGAGGAATAGTGATGGCGACTTCCGGCTTCACCCCGAAACTCTTAGCAGTGTTAGAGAGCATCACAGCACAGAGACATGTTGGATTTTGTCCCACTCTCTTCACCTGAGTACAGCAGCTGCTAGAGACCGCAGCGTTCGCATCTTGTGCTGCATCTACACAAGGAGTTAGCTTCATAGCTTCCGCATCAGGAGTGGATCTGGGACATTCCCCAGCCCCATTTGCTCCAATAAAGCTATAAATAGCTAAAGCAAAGAGGAACACAAAAGCAAAAACACACTTCATTTTGATCTCAGTTTTTACTATCTTCAGATTCTTCACTGATATACAATTCATTAGCAGCTCCCCTCAATTTATACTGAACTGAGTCGCTCAATTTTCTCTAAGGCTCTGTTTGTTTCATTTTTTTATGGTAATTTCAAATTAATTTACTCATCTCAACATATCTTTTTACATTTGCAATTTGCTTTTTTATATTACCAATACAAAAAACACCTAAAAACACATATTAAAAGAAATGTAACAAACATACCCTAAGTTCTGACACAGATCCGTAAATCCCACCAAGAACACCCAGTGGGATGAGCACATTCATTTTTCTAATGGCCCACTTTCTTTTTTAAGGGAGTAAGAATCACTCCCATCTTTGATCTTCCAAAATGCCAAAAGAAGCATTAAGTACACAGGTGTCAGCATCAGAACGATAGCAATTCATAACTCCATTTCCATGGAGAAAATTTTAACAAGAACGATGAATGGAGAGAAGCCTTAACGACGGCTAGGCTTTCTTCTACTCCAACTTTAAATTCAATTATTTCAATTTTTTTTTATTTTTTTTTTAATTTTTTTTTTATCATTAGAAATAGAATCTTTATTGAAAAAATTATAATCATGAGAAGCTTCAACATGTCTAACCTTGCGATATCCATTTTTTCATCTCATTCCCAGCTGTTTTCGAAATGATCGATTTACTCATTACGTTCTCGATATCAATCTTAATATTTTAAAATATTTTTGGAACTTGCGTGAAAACATTGGAAATTTAGATAGCAACCCATGAACGTCCAACATTATACTAATTTGCTGTGGTGTGTGGAACACTCTTATATTTTTGTATATTTCTTTTGTTTTCAAATGATTATTTAGTTTAACTGTTCATTTTTTTAACTGAAATGAAATTTTAAATTGAAAAATTATTTCAAAACGGAAAAATTATTTCTTGTAAATTGAACTTCGTTCGGAAGGAAGTTATAAATTAGCTAGCATAATAGTATATGCATGTCTCTCTCATACTCCAACCATAAATGCAGGGATTATTTCCATCCATTTTTACATCAGCACCAATACAATCTTCATTGATAAACTTATAGTCTTGAGAAGCTTAAAAATGTCCAGCCTTGCGATATCCATTACCCTCCTCAGTTGCTTCTACAATCCGTTCGGAAGTGGGATTTGCTGCTACAATTTCTCCCTCCTCAGTTGCTTCCTCTCAAAAGGAATTTTGGTCTAAAAATGTGGTCAACGCTATGCCAGAAGCATTTGCATCAAAACTATCTCCATTACCCAACCAAGCTTCTACAACTAATTCCTTATTAGCTTCATCCACAGGTAATAAAGAATCCTCAATTACGAATGGATTTTGTTCCGTAGCAAATTTGGCTTGCACCACATTACCAAAAACTACATTAGAAGTGATCAAGGAGACAATAGTTCTAAGTGGATATGGAGCTTCCCCTGCCAGCAGTATTATGAACTCACATGTTGATGATGATGATGGTCAATCACTTGAGCCCAACTTCTTCTTTAGGCTTTCATCAGTTTTCCGAAATGGGAAGCGAATCCGACTACCGAACCTAGATAAAATAAGTCTTCCTCCTCGCTCGTTTCTTCCTTCCCAACTTGCATCAAAAATATCCACAAAAAATTCATCAAATCTCCAAAAATATTTCCCTACTTTATTCTCTTCCAGCTCAATGAAAGACACGCTAGAAAGAAGCACGAGGTATTGTAATATGCCAGCCCTAAAAGGCGAGATCAGATCATGCTCTAACTCACTTGAGGAAATGATAGAATTCTCCAATAAAGCATTAGGGGTGACAAAATTAGTGTCACTGAGTACCTTAAGCTCAAAGGGTCCGGAAAAGAGCTTGAGATTGGAAATATCAAACAATTCCACGCACAAAAAGGGAAAATTTACTTATTAATAGTTGAAAAAAAAAAAAGAAGAACAAAATAAGCTTAGGGTTTAAATTGTAGCCAAAAATAGCTTTCTAGCGCTTCAGAAACGCGAAAAAAACAAAATTCGCGTTTTGAAAACGCTAAAAATCAAAATTCGAGTATTGAAAACGCTAAAATATGTTTTTCGCGTTTTAGAAACGCGAAAAATAAGAAGTCGTAATTAATTTAACTTAATCCTAATTAATTAACGGTAAAAGAATTGAAAAAATATCAGTTCGCGTTTTCAAAGCGCGAAATAAATTAAAAAATAATTTTATTTAAATAAAAAATAAAATAGGCATAATATATGATTAATTTGACTAGTTTAAAACGTTATAGGGAAATTGACTTCAAAATATTATTAAATTTGAATAATGGTAACAGAAAATTTTAAAATTATAATTGTTAGTCATTAAATTTTGAATAGAGCTATAAAGAGGAAAATTATATTGATAATTTTAATAATACGAAAATTAAATTTTGAATAAGAATATAATATTATAATTGATACTCATTAAATTAAATAGAGCTATACTAAATATAAATTATTAAAAGTATGATATAGTTATTATAATGTATTAAATTTTTAGAACATTATATAAAAAAATTTAATAATGATTATATTAAAAAAATTTTATTAAAAATGTAATCATTATTTTAAAAAATAATTTTATATGAAAAATTTTCAATAATGATAATGACGTAATTTTATGGATTTAATTAGATATAATTTAATTTACAAATTATTTTTATTAATTATGATTGTTTTAATAGAAGAAAAAAGCTTAAAATAGGAATATATTTTATTAAATATTTATTATAATTTACCAACACTTAAGATGAAGCAACTATTAATTATGAAAAAAAGTATAAGAAAGTTTAAAGATGTGTTTCGATTTGATCGGCGAAGATGTGTTTTATAAATATTAATTATTGTATTTACGATGCAGGTGAAATCAAACTATTAAGAATATTAATACAAGTCATAACAAAATACTACAAGTCATAACAAAAGGTAAAAAAAATAAAACAAGTCATAACAAAAGGAAAAAAAACAGAAATGAACAAAAGGGAAAAAAAAATACAAGTCTAATAATACTACATAAGAAGTCTAGTACCCTACTTCTTCTTGGGCTTTTTAGCCCGAAAAAGGCTATAAGTCAATCTATCGGGCTCCTTCGTCACTCTCTGGCACTCACAGCCAACGGTGGAGTCCCTAGAGTCTGACTCGATCCCTGCTCCTTATGGCGCTGATAACCCTGACCCTCAAACTGATCATCCTGGTCTGCATCCTCAGCCTCATCCTCAGCCTCATCTTCACCCTGACTCTCACGCTCACCCTCAGCTGGGTCATCAGCCTGATGCTGACCCGTAACACCCTCGAACATACTCGAAAGAAAGTTACTCGTGTAATGTATCGACTGGCCATCTAGCGTACTCTGCTGAAACCCAGAAAAGTCAATAAAAGAATCTCCAAACTGACGCTGAGAAGTCTGAGGGGAGGAAAACTGAGTGAATGCAAAATGGGACTGCCGGTGCTGGGGAGACATAATCGGACGGTAAAACGCCTGTTGGGTCGGCGAAGAATGATGTGGAGACTGATGGGATGAATGATGTGGAGACTGATGGGCTGAATGCTGTCGAGAATGGAGTGGAGACTGATAGGATGAACCGCCAGTGAAGGGAATATGAGACTGCTCATGCTGGGAGGACTGATGTGGCTGAGTGGATGTGATTATCTCTTGCCCCCCACGCCCACGCTGAGACCTGCGCGAACGCCTCGGAGGTCTGGGTGGTGGATGTTGCTGGGTCGGGTCTACCGGTGCAAGTTCTTGACTCAAAATGTCATTAACCTCAACATGCCTATCGAGATCGTGACGTACAACATTTGTTGCATTGACGGACAACGCCCGCTCAGCAACCTGGGCAATCTCGCCTAAGCGATCATAACCAAAGGAGTCCGCGTCGAAAGTACACTGGCCTATAATACTCAGACTACAAACGTCCTCCATCAATGTGGCCTGAAATTTTTATTAGAAAGAATCATAAATTGACAACAGTGTTAATAAAAAGAACCAAATGGACTGTAGGCGAAATACTCACCATGAGGCGCAAGGTCTCTGCAGAGCCGTGAAAACCCCTCGCATTTTCAGAGTCCGTCGGATCCGTAACATACTTCACAGTAACCTGATGGTACCACAAGAGATACTCCCGGATCTGCGGAAGGCTCGCCAACATAATCATCATCAGTCCCCACAAGTCGGCCGTGGCGATCATTCCAAACCTGGAGATATATCCCTAGTTGTTGTAACCATCTCCTATCGGATCCTCCAAACGGCTTCCTCTTGAGCAGGCTAGTAATTTCTGCCGCAGTGAGAAGTAATGCATCGCCGGGTATCCGCTGGTGATAACCAAATTGGCGAAATACCCTACTAGGGTTGTGTGGCGCAACGACATCATCGCAGATGAGCCATGTCTGAGATCGCCATATGCCCTGTCCTACAAGACAAACCCTGGCAATACGACCCAGAAGAGTCGTGTATGGCATCCATACAAACTGCAATGGTAATTAAGTAAGAGACGCGTAATTAAAAGTCAGGCACCGTTTAAAAAAACGAATAAAACATAAGTTATACTAATTGAATAGAATACTAACATCAGACTCTCCGAGAACTGCAAGCTGATCCCGGTACGCGGCCAAATTGAACCGCGTGATACCTTGAACTTTTTTCTCACGGGACCACCTGCACGGAGAAAGTAACATTAAATTGAGACATGACAGTACAAATCAAAATGTCAAAATTTACGAAGGTTTGATGTATAAGATTACCTCGTGCCCAATGGACAATGAGATAGATCGAGCTCCCCACCCAGTATCTTGGGCTGAACAGTCAAAATCCGCTCCCAGGCCCAGAGCTAATTCAGAATGAAGAAATCATTAGCTAAAATCACCAATAATTATGGGAGAATATAAAATGAAACTAGAGAGAAATGAAAAGATAAAATACCTGAAGAAGAATCACACAGCCGGTAATAGCCTTGGCAGAAGCGGCCAGAGATGACTTGGACATGCTGCGGTACAAGTAACATAGTGTCGCACTACCCCAACTGTACTCCGAGCAAATCTCAGGAGTATGAAGAAAATGCACAAGATCGAGAGGAAAGCTGTTTCTCGTAGTGTTTGAGAACAAGAATCCGCCAACGAGCCATCCAACAAAACAACGGGCTCATTGTAGGTGTGCATCGTCGGGGACAGGTCCGTCAAAGGATTATTCTCTATGTGAGTCTTTATTTCGGTGATGGAAACGCTCGTCAATCTAGACTCCTCTGTCTGGAACCTAAATCCAAACATCCTCTCCAAATAGGCTGCCCAACAACCATCGGGCGTGGTGTGATGTCCCTGTGCGGGACGTCCATCAACCCGAAGACCCAAAAGAACCTCGACGTCTGGAGTGTGATAGTAGCCTCCCAAAAGGTAAATGAAATGTATGGGTCTCTGGCGCCATCGCTCCACAAGAGCTGTAAGCAGGCCATGGTCACATCTTATGGACCCAACTCTAGAGAACGGTCCAAAACCAAATTTCTCAATATATTCCTTTGTCAACCTCGGTGCATCTTTTATTAATTTCCAAGCGGCGCTATCTACGCGCCTGGGCTTCGAAATCCCTATATCATACTGTGCACCATGGAATATATTGTGTGACCTATGGGCGTTTTGGAGAAACAACAAACTACTGTCTCTGGGTCCCTGCCGTAGCTTCTTTGAGGTAGATTGGGAGGAAGAAGATGATCCAATGTCCATGGCTAGTATAATTTACAAATAATTTTAGTAAGTACAGATTAATATTATTATTCTTTTTTATTATCCTATACATTAAAAATTCCAACCCTACATTTTAGTTAATACGGATTAATATTATTATTCTTTTTTATTATCCTATACATTAAAAATTCCAACCCTACATTTTAGTAAATACGGATTAATATTATTATTCTTTTTTATTACAAATTACAAATAAAACGAACACAAAATTTATAGGAATCGAAAATTAAAGCATGAATTAAAAAAAAAGATTCAATGAGAGCGAAAAAACACAACTTACCTCGATATATAGCCTACAGAATGCAAAAAATTGATGCCGAAACTCGATTCCGGCAACGATCCCGGAAAAACCGCCGGTTTCAATGGAGTACGCCGGATATATGATTCTGTTTGAGAAACATCAACTCAAAACGCGAAAACTTTATTTAACCACCCATTTTCGCGTTTCAGAAACGCGAAACTACCTATATCCCAATAATCGCGTTTCAGAAACGCGAAAATAATGCTCTCCCTTTTCTCGCGTTTCAGAAACGCGAAAATAATGCTCTCCCTTTTTTCGCGTTTCAGAAACGCGATTTAGTTTAAAACTGAAAAAAAAAAAACGTTTAGTGTTTATTTCGGTGATGAATAAACAAATAACTAATTTTCTTACCCTGTAGTGTTTATCAAATAATTAGTGCTTTATTCGACATGAATATATCCTATCATTCAAATAATTAGTAATATTACTAAAATGAACTGCGACGTTTTTTTTTACAAAAATATTACTAATATAAATTACAGAAACATCCAAACCAACACACTAACACAAATACAAATGCAAACTGATTCATCCTCTGAGGTTTACCACATGAATGTTCAAAACAACACAAAAATACGAACACTAAGAGAATCATCACAACACACGATGTGGAAAATCATCACTACGCATCATCATCATCATCAGAATTGATATTAGGCACACCACAAATTCCATATGGATCGTACAGTTTATCAATAGCGGTCCTGTCAGCAGGTGGATGAGAAAAAGGGAATTCCACAGCATCATGATCTAAACTTCCACATCGTGCGCAAACTCTCGCATATGGGCAAGCCCTGGCATTATGGCCTTTTAGCTTACATAAACTGTAAGTTTGGAGTCTTCGCTGGCCAGATTTGCTAGTATAATCCATCACACCTTTTTTCCGATTCACACGCTTCCGACCTCGGCCAGCATGGTGGACAAGTTTAGTGTCATCTGGCCTGATCTGCCACGTTGCCTTTGGCCATGGTTCCATGATTGGGTTGAATTCTCCAAAAAACTGTTGGTACCATTGATGCGTAGTGTAACATGGATCAAAAAGTGGGAAGGGATCGTCACCTAGCTCACGGGCAACTCAAAGTGCATGGGAACAAGGAAATCTGAAAGTCTGCCACCTTCCGCAAGTGCACTCTCGATTTGCATACAACACAACTTGCTTCTCCTCAGCCTTCCATGGTTGATTATCAGGTGCTATTGTAACCACTTCGTACTTCTGGTTTCTCTTGCTAAACCGGTTGACCTTTTGCCTCAATGATTTCTTCCGGGCCTCTTCATACAGTTTCATTGGCTTAGGAGGTAGAACAGTCTGACATTTTTGGATCATATCAATGTTTGCCTAAAACAGATTGTTGCTTTTCTGAAAGGATGCTAGGATCAAAGCTGTGATCGGGAAGAATCTAGCACCTTTCAGCACATTATTGAAACTCTCTGAGATGTTAGTGGTCATTTCTCCCCAACGATGCCCTCCATCGTGTAAACAGGTCCATTTCTCAACACTCAGCTTCTGAAGCCAACGAGCAGCAGGCTCATTTTTTTCTTCTAATTTTTGCCACTCTGCCAAAAACCTTGTCTTTTGCGTCGCTGAACCAATCATTTGACAGTTGCCTCCTAGTTTCTCTTTTCGAAAATGCCCAACCAAGTTTGCTTTAACATGCTCTAGTCAATACCGGTGGACTCCCATCTCTGGGAATTTTTGCAACATGATGTCCATGGCAGTAAGGATATCCTGATTTCGATCAGAGATAATACAGGTCTTCCTATCCTATAGAACAAACTTTTTCAAATACTTCAAAAACCATTTCCAGCTGTGTATAGTCTCTTCGTCCACAAGAGCAAATGCGATGGGAACAATCGTGCCATTTGTGCACTTTACGCATGCCACAATTAGTTTTCCTTTGTAGGATCCTCGCAGGTGAGTGGCATCGATGGTTATTACTGGCCAGCAAGCATGAAATAACTGTATAGATGGCCCAAATGCCCAGAAAACATACCAACATACAAACCTTTGCTAGCTTCCTGAATTTTCCTTAAACTTGAATTGCACACAAGTGTTCGGGTTTGACATGAACAATGCATCGAGGAAGCTGGGCAGTTGTTGAAAATTACTTTCCCATGTACCATACAGAGCCTCAAGTGCTTTACTTCTACCATGCCATGCCTTCTTGTAGCTACATTCGACTTGGTACCTCTTCAAAACTTCTATTTGAATTTGGCCAACTGCAAAATCTGGATGTTTTCGCACATTTTGGGCAACCAGTCTAGCAATCATAGAAGACGTGACATTTCGGGACTCGTTTCTCTTGTTTGCCCCAAGACAGTTGTGGGAATCGGACCATACCACCATTTTCCAAGTATCGGTGGCCTTCTGTAGCGAAACTCGCGCCTTCCATAGACAATCATAGCCGTGAAGACGCTCTTTCGGATATTTGGGTCCACACGTCTCGCATTCGACATACCATGTTCGTTTAGAGCTCGCTTTCACCCGGAAAGTCCGACCATGTACCAAGTTCCATTCTCCCACTGTCGCTTGTGCCTCAGGCTTGTTGGCGAAATGTATATCAAGGCCTAGCGTCAACGGATTGCCATCCCACATTTTAATCCCATCACAATCTACTTCCTCTAAAGTCTTGTCCCATCCACTTATGTCGTCGAAAACATATGGGACTGAAGAAGATGACTCAAAATCAGTGTCGTCATCTGAGTCCTCATCCAATGGGACGTACTCATCATCACTGCTTTCGACACCCCCGCCATCTTCATCTTCATCTGCATCTTCATCTTTATCTTCATCTTCATCTCCATCTTCATTGTCTTCAACTGTTCTACCACCACTAGTGCTGGCACCAATATCCTGGCCAGATGTACTTGCATAAACATAGCCTGTTCTCTCAACATTTTCAGGATACAATTCTAGCCATTTATCAGCACAAAGATAAATGAACCGAACAATATTATCATCATTAATGTGCACATGAGACCTTTTTCCTGACCTCTCCGTCCATACCAAAGAAAAATCAATATACAGCCCTTCTCTATCAACTTCCATCCCACCACATACCTTATCAACAAGTTCCGAGAAATCTAACATACGATCAATGATAAGATAACCGTCCGGCGCATCCCGCTGTACCGTGATAGTCCCATTAGGTTCAGTTGTATAAGTAGTATTCCAGTATAATTTCCGACGAACTGTCCCCGTGAAAGACATTTGCGGCCTGCAAAATCAATTCCTACGAAATCAGAACACTAGCATACATTTTGAATTTTAGTTCTGCGGAAACAGTATTTACCCCGTTTACAGATTTAATAATTTCAAAAGAACAACTATACGCCTGAATTTACAAATTCATTTCTATGCTAAAAATTAATATAAAATCTAAACCTTATGCCCGAATTACATAATTTATTCTTATGCTAAAAATATTCAAAAATTCAATATCATTATTATAATTTTATTTTATTTTACAGAAATCGATATACAATAATTTACAAAACGCTCATCTAATTTAACATTCTATTAACTAATATTTCTTTCAATTCACTTTATCAGCCTAATTAAAAAATCACTGTTAATTGACTAAATCACAATTATTTATTAACTAATAATAATGCGTAAATCATCCTATGCTCACAATAAAGCATAAAAAAGTACGTATTTTCTATAACGAAATAAACTTACCTGAATGTTGAAGGAAATGAGAGCTTTCACGGATTCAGGACTCAAATCAATCTTCTTTAACTTCGGAGCAACTTCTCAAATTGAAGGAAATGAGAGCTTTCACAGATTCAATCAAGTCCTCCGGAGTGAAACTTAAAATCGGAGCTGAACAGAATGAACGAAAAAATGCTGTTATTTTGCTTGGTTTGGTATATAAATCTTAAATTTCGCGTTTACAAAACGCGAATACACTCAAAGACTTATCATCAAAATACACGTGGATCCGAATGAGTGGATGAGGAGATTTTCTGGATATTTCGTGATTTCAAAACGCTAGAAAACATTTTTCGCGTTTTCAAAACGCTAAACTGTTATTCTCAAACCGCAATTTATTTAAAATTTAAAACTTATAACTTTTGCCTTTTTAAAACGCGAAAATAATTTTTCGCGTTTTTGAAACGCTTTTTATTGTTTTCGCGTTTCCAAAACGCGAAAACTCATTCTCCTTTTTTAATTCAATTTCTTTTCTCCTTTCGTCCCGGTTGAATTTTTGGAAAAGATGATTAAAATGATTCGCGTTTCACAAACGCGAATTGTTAATCTAATTTTCTTGTTTCGCGTTTTCAAAGCGCGAAAACATTATATTTGTCCACAAAAATAAACCCTACCCATTTTTTGTTCCACACTTTTGGGTTTGGCTCACCCAAAAGTCAAGCACCCGCACAAAAAGTCGTTTCTTGTCATGAAGTTTTCTTTCCTTTCGCTACATACTTTTGTCATTCACTTATCTCATCGAAAACTCGCCTCTACGCCGTTGATTTTGTTGAACCTGAAAATAAAACTCATGTTAACAGGATCCTCGCCGTGTGTCACATGGATACTTCAGCATGGCCTTCTGAGAGTATTGCTTTGAAGGCATTGAAAATTTCTCCAGGAAAAGGTGAGGCTTGCCATTGGTACAGAAAAGATGATCCTCTTTGGATTGGAAGCGATGGAGCAAACAAGAAGCTCTAAAGTTTGAAGTCGGAATTCTCGCGTGATGATTACGATCACCGATGTCCTTGTAATTAATTATTTGCATGCATGAATGATGTACGTACTGTAAAATGTGTGTATCATTTATCAAATATGAAGTTTGTTGTCGTGTGTTTCCAATCAATTTCGATGTTTCCAAGTGAAATATCAATGTAATATAAATAATGAACTTTCATTTCCAACTGAAAGAAGTAATCAAGTTGTAGCGTTTTTTATTAGCTCGGAATTGTGATTGAAGACTGATCATTCAACGTACTTTTATATTTATTTGATATGTTCCATCATTGAATGTTCATGTTGGACTTCAACTAGTTCATAAAAATTTCACAATTATAACAAAAATTATACTATCTCTGTTTCAAAAAAAAAAAAATACATATTTAATATTTTAAATTTGTATATTTTTAATATAGATTTTTAAAATTCAATGTGAACAATTTTTTATAAAAAAAGAGTGATAAAAATATAAATCCCAACAAAACAGTCGATTTGGATCGCTCATGATTTTGGGCTCTATGTCAACTTCCATAGTTCGATGTCTGATGTAGAAAACGTTTCCTTCTTCATCCCGGCCTTTGTTACTCCACGATCGTTGAATGTTTTTCAGCCCATTCAATGCATTCCACACTTTATTCCCCGACGCTGTGACCTACTGATTTGTAATTTTGTGTCAGAATCCTTTTAATAAGTTTCTCTTTAATTGTAGCCGCCAGCAAGTAGAGCAGAACGAGAAGACAAAAGCATGAGAAAGAATGCTCCTCTATCGAGTTCGGAGTTAAGCAAATGGAGCCACTTGCCTGGGGCCACGATCTCTATGGCACACTTTTTCAAAATAATCATCCTCAAATGATTGTTTAATTTAGAATTTTTTTTAACAAAAATTATAATAAAACAATAAAATTTAAACATATAATCATTTTGAGACATAGTAATTTTGCCTATATTGGACATCCATCCCTTTATTTGTTACTTCGTTTAAAAAGCAAGAAAATATTATTTGCGTTTCGAAAAAAATCTACAGTCATTTCAAATTTTATACTAGTTTTAATAAAAATTTTAACAATTAAACGCTTATTACTTTAAGAACAGAAGGAGTACTAATATTTTTTTGATAAAGTAAGTTATGATGCAGTGTTAAGGACTCATCTTACCCTTAATCATAAGGTTATATGCATGAATTAACTATTTCATCTATTAGTCATTGTTACATGCATACTTAGTGGATAAATACTAAATAAAATCAAATCAAATCATTGTGTTTGACTATTCATCGCTTCCAGTAGTCATCCCATGTGGTAAAAGGTATCACACACTTGATTTTTGGCTTCTTGCATGCAAATTCATGACCCGCGGGATAGATGTTGAGCAAAAGTCAAGCCTCGTGCTCGCTTCAGTCATAACTCAAAAGAATTAAATAAGTAACACCATGGACACTAGTTATTAATAACTCTATTCATTCTGCTATAAATACAGGTTTACTACACCTCCATTTCCCCATCATAGAAATACAATTCTTACTTATCAGCTCAGCTTAATTTGAAGATGTCTAGCTCTACACTTTCAATCTTTCTTCTTTTTCTCTTGAATGTCTTCTCGAAAATGGATATGGCATTTTCTGCCACAATTTCTTCCTCCGCGGTTGCTTCATCCCAACTTGATTTCTGGTACGAAAATGTTGTTAACCCAATGCCTGCCACAATTGCATCAAAATTATCTCCATTATCTAGTCAAGATTCCGTTTTCGATTCCTTATTCGCTTCTTCCACATCAAATGAAGCATTTTGCTCCGAGGCTAATTTGGCTTGCACCCCATTACCAAAAAGTACTATAGGCAAGCTCAAGGCCTTACTAAATGGATATTTACTTGTCAAATCCATCCATAGTTATGTACATGATCATTACTCCTCATCACTTGACCCTAACTTCTTCTTTACTATATCATCGGTACTTCAAAAAGGGAAACGTATCCGATTACCGAATTTCAAGGATGAAACTCTACCTCCTCGTTCGTTTCTTCCTTTCCATATTTCATCTAAAATATCCACCAACAGTTCAGCTGATCTCCAGAAAATCTTCCCGAGTCTATACTCTTCGCAGCCGACGAAAGAATTCATCGAAAAGATCACCTCACACTGTAGTTCAGCATCTCTAAGAGGAGAGATGAATAAATGCTCAAACTCCCTCGAGGACATGTTACGATTCTCCAAGAAAGCGTTGGGCGCGACGAAATTACTCGCATTGACTACAAAAAGCGTCAAAGGGTCCGGAAAAGTGCTCGAAATCAGAAACATCGAACTATTCCCGGCTGAAAAAATGGTGTCCTGTCATGAAATTTTCTTTCCATTTGCTGCTTACTTTTGTCACTCGCTCTCATCATCGGAAACTCGCCTCTACGCCGTCGATTTTATTGATCCTTCAACAAAAGCTCCGGTTAACAAGATCCTGGCCGTTTGTCACATGGATACATCACAAATGCAAGCCGACCATGAGGCTTTGAAGCACCTGAAATTAACTCCGGGCCAAGGCGAGGTTTGTCACTGGTATGGAAAAGATATCTTATTCAGATCGGCCGCGATAAAAGTCGAACAAATATGAAATAATCCTGAATTTTGAAAGTTAAAATATACATCATCAAATGGGTTTCTCACCTGTTGATTGTAATGAACCTACCAGTGCCGTTCGTTTCGCGTGCTTGATGATCATATTTAAACGTTTCCAAGATGAATCAGTGTTAAAAAAAAAAAGTTGCAACTTGTTACTTTCTTCCGGTCACAAAAATAATCCACATTATAATTATCAATTGTACTGAAATTCTACTCCCTCCGTTATGTAATTTGTTGTATTATTTTTTAATTTAATAAATTGAATGTTATGATCTAGACCTAAAAAGATTAGCAGACAATCTCTCTCTCTTTTCTCTCTAACCTCTGACATCTCTCTCCTTTCCGCTACGCCGCCGGCCATAGGCCATAAACCTTCTTTTGCCCAGGTTTTGGGATCGAAGACAAATCCAAAGACAATACAAAATCACTCAATCAAAAACCATGATTTACATGAACTTGAGATTCACTCAAAACCAACAATGTTTAAAGGAGAGCCTACTTTCCTTATAACCAAAGAAGAGGACGATCGATTGGCTGCCCCATTCCGTCTAGCTCTGGTAGGGAAATTCACTAAAGGTCGACCAAAAATGGAATACCTGTGTAGGGAATTCCAAACTATTGGTTTCAAAGGAAGTTACTCCCTTGGATCGATCGACTTCCAACATATCCGTATATGTTTCGATTTAGAAGAAGATTTCCATCGTTGCTGGTTAAAAAGTCTATGGACCTTCGACTCGCATAGAATGCGAGTTCTAAAATGGACCACTGATTTTAATCCGGCACACGAAAGCTCCATTGTTCCAGTCTGGATTGCCTTTGAAGGCCTTCCCTTTCATCGATTCAACAAGGCATATCTGTGGAAACTTGCAAGTATCATTGGAACTCCTCTCCAAATTGACATCCCAACTCTTAATTTGCCAAGATCATCTGTGGCTCGAGTCTTTGTAGAGTTGGATCTCCTCAAGGAGCATCCAATTCGGATCTGACTAGGGGTTGATGGGTCGACCTACTTTCAACCAGTCTTTTATGAAAACATGCCATCATATTGTAGCGAATGCAAAAGGCTCGGACATGATCTTCAATCCTGTCGGTATAACACAACAACTAAAACGGTACCAAAACCATCTGATTTGCCCCATTCAAAACAACCACCAAAACAGTACCATCAAGGGAAGAAACCACCATCACGTAATTTTGAGAAACCGGTTACAATAGGAGGAAATCCAACCCTCTCAAATGTTGCTATTGATGTAGCCAAAAAGACTACCATTGATGATGCTGAAAATCTAGTCAGTTCCACTGTTCCTGTCGCAAAGTCTCGGTTGCAAGTGGTCCCTGACGGTGAAGCTTCACTGTCTTTGGATGTTGATGCTACCGCGCTTGTTGCTGTTGCGGAACCGCAGTTGCAAGATGTTGCAGCCGGTGAAGAATCATCTAATCCAACCCCTTCTACAATTGTTGTTATTGACGCATCTGATGATACACTTCCGCGGTTGCAAGAAAAGGATGCTGCAGTTTCTGTCGTGCCCCTAAATCAACCCTCGGATGATCATCGATCCATGGATGTCGCCGCTGCTACTGAGAGTTCTCCATGCTTGCAAAACATTGATGGTTCGCTGCAGCAATTGAATTCTACTGAAGCCGTCACTGCTAATAAGAAATTCGTTGCGCAACACACTTTTTCTAGCCAAATTGATATTCCTTCGTCCTCTGATTTTGCCGCTGCAGTAGATTCTCCTTTAGTATCGAATGATACTATCAACAATGGAGGGAAGAATTCTTCATCGGAACGGCGAGAATCACCGGTGGAAACTTTGTGGCCTCTTGCTGTACAACGGAATCCCACGCCTTCTACACAGCCTTCTCCAAAAGCGCAAGCTGTTCAATGCAATGTTGTGGGTGCTGTCGAGAAACAACAATCATCAAACCTGATCGATACTGCCAGAAACGGCAGTGCTTCATCGCCGGAAAGAAGTCGACGATCAGTTTCACCAGCGGCAGAAGAAATCCCGCAAAAGCTTATAGTTACCACAGATATAGATATTCCGTAAATTCAGGACCATCAATGCAGCTCTTACCCTTCGACTCGGTTTGTTTAAATTTAAATGGGGATAACCACAATTCTCTCAACTCCAATCCAGTTGATTCAGTTTCTAGAAAAGATGAGCAAAGTCAAACTCTCCACAATCCTCAAATAAGGAAGGAATCTCTTCAACAAAAATCTCCACCAATCAAATGCTAAACCTTGAGGCTCCAGAATTTACCATCTCTCACCGGCCGCCACTTCTAGAGGTTTTACTGCCAATTACGGCCCCGAAAACATACTTTTCCAAGGATGGTACGGAGATATGAAAGAATACTGAGACTTTTAACTCAAGTTATTTGATTGAAGAAATCAATTCTGAAGGTGGACTAAATCATGTTTCCAATGGTTCTGATGATGACGATTTTGACATGGAGTATGCAATAGAACAAGAGTCCTTTTATAGTGAAGTTTCTGCTCCAATATATCACAATAATTCAAAAAAAGTCAAGGATAAAAAGAAAGTTCAAGTTCGTCGGTCTGCTAGATTGAATAGGAATTCATTTTTACCTTAGGATTAAAGATTGTTTTTGTTATAGGGTTTAGTATATTCGATGTCCTATTTTATCATTATTTTTAATAAAATTTGTTTTTTTCTTTAAAAAAAATAAAATATAAAATAAAATAAATTGAATGTTATGGACCAGACTGGTATATTTTTAAATATCACACCAAATATTAAAAGAAATGAAGTTCATATTTTTTTATTCAAAATTTCTATGTCGCTTGGACTCCCATCTCAAATGAAGACATACACTGTTTGGTCAGTTCACATCTTTTAAGATACTGTCAGATCAGTTCACAAACTTGCGCACACTTGTCCACAGCTCCGAACACACTGTCGAGTCATTCCACATTCTCAAAATTAATTTGTAATGAATGAAGTAATTCAAGACACTTATAAACAAGTTACATCTTTCACGATGGTGACGTGAGATTCTTTAAACTAATAGAAAAGAAGGGTGAGCTCTAATTGGGATTGAGAAATGTACAAGTAAACAGAAAATAATTAATCATGCACACAAAAAGATTAAAAAATAAAGAATTTCGAGAGAGAATTTATTAATTTATCAACAATATATACACTACAATCATATACAAACTTTAAATTCATCCTTATCATTATACTTAATATAAAGGCACAGTAGGCAAGAAATAATGCCCAAGAAATATTCAGGGACCACCTGAACAAACGATCTGCTCCGTCGGATGGCTTCGATACGACGTCAGCGACTTATTAGGGGTCAAAAAGAGAATTCCTACTCTTAAATTTATCTATGATAATAAATTAAAATCCGCAAACTTTAGATGAAAAAATACCCCCAAACTAAACGACGTCGTTTTATGGTCAACTATACTCTACACCTCCTTTTCAGAACGACGACGTTTGAAACCAACCCTTCTTTCCCATATTAAGCGACCAGGCCTTTCAAGAAAACGAATCCCCCAAACACCGGTCAAACATCTCCTCCCTCCGCTATCACCGTCGCCACCATTGACAAAACCTCCACTCCTGCTCTCCTTTGCCTTCATCGATAATTCGATGCCAATCATCGATTCACTATATACAACCCTTCACCGCTATCTCCTCCTCCTTCATTGGTTCCCAATCACCGATTCTATCACCAAACCCAAAGAAGGCGTCGTTTGAGGGTTTTTCTACGGGAAAAAAAAATTTACATAAACACATCGCTCTCAATTTGCATTTCATCCACTTCTCTTGATTTAGGTAGGATTCTTTTAGTTATTTTAAGTTCTGTTTCTTTTGGTTTTTGGTCTTTGTACTATTTTTTTTCCTCCTGCTGATTGTTGATAGTTAATCTTTCCCCGTTTTTCTTTGTGAAGGTTGGCTTAGTTCAGGCTTTTGTTTTTAAATTTCTATTTGTTTTGATCTTTTGACCATCGATTTATTAGGGGTGTGGATGTGGGTATTGAACACTAGGCACTTTGATTTTTGTCCATCTATGGCGTTCAAGTTACCAATTAATGATAACTCGTCAGACTAGCCTCAGTATCTTGACGGAGGATGGGTTATCTCATAAGGAGAATTTATTTTGCGGTGTTATGAGTTCGAAACTAACAACACCGCCAACGCCGAAACCATTAGAAATGAGGTAATCTCCCGTTTTTTCCCCGGTGCTTTCTGTTAGTGAAGGTTAATGCTTTGTGAACTTATACCTTTAGATTTTCGAAGGTTTGCAGTTTATGCTTGGAAAATACTGAAAGTGTCTTTAGGGGAGATTGGTTGGTAATCGCTTTTTGTTTATTTCCAATGACTTCTTTGCTAGGGATAATTCAATTGATCTGGAATCTTACTCTAAACAATTGTTCCATGTTATCAATCGACTTTTGGACTTTGTCCCAACTTTTTTCTCTTTGTCTTTTCGGTTTTGGAATTTTCCTCTGCATTATTTTAGATTTCATGTTTTCCTGCTCTGTCATGGATTTTTCTGGTTGTCATAGGGATTGATGTGTTTAATAAATGTCAAGTTATGCTCAATGTTTTTCTCGTCATATGTCTTCATTAATTCATATTCGATATAATAAATTTATTGCAGTGTTTGTTAGCATCTTTGCATGAAGTCTTAATACCCGTTAAACAAAGAAAGTGAAGGATTGTGGCATTTGTTGTATGAGTTAATGGTCTTTCAATTGAACTATCAAGTCAATGAGTTGGTGAAGTTGGTTGAAGATTTTCCTTTAATCTATTTTGTAGCTAAGTTTTGCTTTTCCTCTGTTCTAGGAAAAATTTCCTCTAATGGCCTTGATCTATGATTTTGTTTCACTTTCTGTTGTGTTGACATCTGAAAAAGATATTAGTAACTGATTATGCTTTGAGAATCACTCCTCCCAGGTTGATGAAGACATCACTATTTTGCTTGCTTCTCATTCTCGGTATTTTGAGTGATTAAAGAGAATATTGGCTGACTGAATGATGATGTGGGATTTACCTATTAGTCATGTAATAGAGGTCAGGTTTACATCCCCTCCCCACCATTTTGATTAGGCTTGGGTTTATCCTTTTTCTAAAATTAGATGCCCAAAGTGAGTTTCTGAAGTTTCTGCTAAACCTCTTTCTGCAGGCATTGGGCTACCCGAAATACATTGGGAGCATTAACCGCGGGCAAAGCGGTTACAGTGCTGGTCACTCCTACCAGCGACTTCAAAAATATCTTCTTCGTTTGAACGGTTAGCTTCTAAATTTCTAAATGGTGACTTTTCCAGTTTGGAAAACTTCCCGTAAAGTTTCTTCTTTCCTCTGTGTACCTACATCGTTCTTTTCTGTAATCCGAATTGAGTTGCAGCTAAAAAGATTACAAATTTGGTTTTCTTTCTAATGGGAAAGTTGTTTTTACTGTCTCAGGTTGTTTAACATTTCCAAGAACTCTTTGCTCCGATAAAGTACAAGGAGGCCCTCGAGCATGTGCTGAATTTCAACAGAGCATCCTCTGTTCTCCTGATACCATTGCTAAATTTCGGGTACTTTCCTTTTAATGAAAAACTTTTTTGGAAATTACAGCCTGTATGAGACATGATATTGGAGGTTGTAATAAACTTGCCATTTGAATTTATTTCAGGGTGTACTACTTCAATCTGGTCAATCACCGTTATAATTTGATGGAACCTAAAACTGACTCTACTGCAGTATGTTGGAACATTGTGAATAAGAGGAAAACTGAATGCATTTGAGTCTTTAGATTATCACTTTTAGTTGTGAACCAGAACAAAAAGGACTTGGAAAACTGGTTAGCTGAGGACAAGCTGCTTCGTGATCTTGTCAAGGTAATTCTAATCATTCTTGTACTTTGTGGATCACTTTAAGCTTCAACGAGGCTAATCATTCTTTTTTTTTTTTTTCCACTGGACTGTAGCAGAACACATATGGTTCTTGATCTGCGGGGTTTACTAAACCTCCCACCCATCTGAGGGATATGTTATTTTTCTTCCCGAAGCAAACATCTTTTATGCTCTTAAATAAAAATATGTTATGTACCGTAGTATACTTGTTATTTATTCTCAATGAATATGATGTTGGATAACATCGTCCAATGCATTATTTTTTCTTTTGCCTCATTTTCACTTATTTGTAATTTGTTTGTTGCAGGCCCTCCCTCCATATTTTCAAATCTCGTAATACTGGAAGAGTTATAAACATTCAAAGCTTTGCAGTTTTTGTCAACAACCACAAGATCTAGCTTATTAAGCCCTCCAAACACCAATTGACAATGGAGATTCTTTCTGTGAGAACCTTGATGATCTGAGCATTCAACATGGAGGGTACTCAATATCTGATATCAGGGATGAGATATCAAGTTCCTGCTTTAGTTTTCAAATTTTATTTTACTTTTGTTACATGCTTAAAGCATCTTGGTAAAGTGTGCTAATTGGATGTTACAGAGATTTGGATATTTTGAGAGCATAACATAGTAAATAAAGATACGCTAGATAGCAGCAGGATCCTTCTGCTGTCTGGAATATTTTGTAATTGAGGTGGATTATTTGAAATAAGCTTGATATTCAAATCCTTAAGTGTTATGATGATACCTCCTTTGAGGAAGTAAAATTTGTCTTTAATTTTCGCGTTGTGATCATGTCTCATATAGGAAAAATATACCAGAACAGTATGCATTAAGGGGTACGCTACTTTATTATAATAATGATGCCTTCCAATCTTCAAAAAAATTAAAACAGTCCATTTCTGAACTCTTTCTAAACATACACTGGCCATCTAACCAAGGAGCCACGCTCTCTACTTATTGTTGGCTCATATTTTGGTTGGCTTTGATCCCAATCAAAAGCCGTCGGAAATCAACACAGAGAACATCTAAAAGACAAAAATAAAGTGTGTGATGGTAATTCAAAGTTTAAAAAACCCACAATTTCTTATCAACTATTAAAAAACAAATAAAACATCTAACTAAACGGAAGAGTTCTGTACCAAAAGGATTTGGAAAAATACTGCGCACGACGGGACAAGCGTAGTTTACCTATAAAGAAATCAAAACCCAAAAAAAAAAAAAAAGCGTGAACTACAATGTACCCCGAGTTTGGGCCCGATCTACAAAAATTCCACTAGGTTTGATAATACTATATTTTATGCTCCTCGAGCAAGGGTCGAACACTAAATGCTTAAAATGCCAATGGTTTACATACACTTTATTTTCTCTTTTTTTCAGTTTATTTTTATTCATTTTTTGACCATTAAGAATGAAAAATTACTCAATTTGTCATTTTTAAATTTAATTGCAACATGAGTTAATAAATAAAATTTAATACATGCTTAATAATATAACTTTATTATGCTTTAAAAAAATATAAGTGAATTACTAAAGATTATTTTAATTGAAAACACATGATATAGTTATTTTTAAAAATTTATTATTTAATTGAATTCATATAAAAGAATTAATATGGAGTTTTTGAAAGCTTAATCTATTGTGTATTTTTAGAAATACTAAAATCATAAAGTTTAAAAAATATGGTCGAAAGGTTTTTTTTTTTTTTTACTATATACACAAAATTAATGATAGTGTTAGTCTGATAATGATATATTTGGTAGTAAACCTACCAAATATATAAGATTATGAAGACTCGGGGTGTAAAATGGAGTTTAAGTATATTTTAACTTGATTATTTTTTATGTCTGTGATTCCGCGGTAGGAGGGTTGAGTGGGATGGTTAGGGGATTAGGATGGAAGATGGTTATTATCGGGAGGTCGAGAGTTCGATTCTCACCGGGGCCATCCAATTTAGAAAAAAATGTCTGTGATTGCATTCTTTTTGTTCATTTATAAAATTATAAGGATATAAATAAGGTTGGGGCAGAGTTTTTTACTTGTAAAAATAATATTTTTTTTGTCGTTTATAGTTATAAATTAATAATTATTAACAAATCAAAAAACTGTAAACTAATAAAATTTTGAAGGCACAAATATATTAGGGATTTGCAAAAAGTTAAATTATTCAGGTCACCATTAAAGTCATAATGAAAGATCAGGGTTAAAGAGTTAACGACTTACTACGTCGTATTCGATCAATATTGTGTTCAAATTAGTTATACCTCAATAGTTTTGAGAGGTTTGATTCAGTTTAAGCATGTGGTGGCCTTTTGTTATATTAGGATTGAAACTTATTGATTATATCAATAGATTACTTCTATTGTGTGATTGGCCATCTGGGAGGAAGGATAGAAATGGTAACACGTTGTTACATTAATATGAAATGGATTCTAGTCAAGTTATATATGTTTTTTATGCTTTAATGGAGAGATTTGGTGATGACTTGTGATATTATAAAAATTAAAAAATCTATTTTGTTTACAGTCCAATAGACTGAACGATCCAGTTGATATTGAGAGTTTTCAGATACATTAGAATTAATAACAACCATTACATTAAAATGAGTTGTTTTAAAATTAAAAAAATACTCCACCCTACCTGATGATTGCATCGCTACTGGTAAATAATCAAAGTTGTAGCGCTAGATATGGTCAAAGAAACTGTTTCATTGTATTTCTTACCCAACCTTCAAAAGCCGTCTAGCGCGGAGTAGCTGGGATTCGCTTCCTTGCCCCGTGCATTACTACAAGAAGACCAACCAACTCCCACCAAACCGGAAATATGAATCCACCATTGCCAGCAGTCTCATGGCTTCGACAAAGAGATGTCGGAATTTTTTGGATAGTGGAGGTGCCGAAAGTTATCATGACTGTTCCAAGTTTATCTTCCATTTTCGGAAAACATTAGTTGTATATATATTTCGCCCAAGTTTGTAATATGATTGAACATATTGCATTATGGATTCAAACTTAAAACAGAACGTAGTTGTTATGTTCCAGATCATTTACTGGAACTCTCAATTTTATTTAATTTCTAATCTTTTTAAAGTTATTGTTGCCCGAATTTTCCGTTACTCAATAATTCATTTTCTTGTACATGAATTTCGTATATTTTTGTGTAAAAATGGGCTGCTAGGGAGGATGAGAAACATTGACTCCTTATTTCCCTAATGACACCTTTCAGCTCCTTCCCCCATTTTCCCTCAAAGATTCCTCTATGAAGGTGAAAAGATTTTCTCTTTTAATTGTTGTATTGCCGTTGATTTCTTTTCATCGCTTTAATGGTTCTTCCGAATCAGCAAACCGTTGATTATCCTAGCTTCAAACTAGTTTACAGTCCGGTAAAACTTAATTAACACCGTTCAATTTGAGAAGAAATACGAACAGATGGTGAGATTACTTTCATGCTGTAAAGCAACGGCATGGAGTTGAGATTGCTTCAGCTGCCAATTCCTAATGATGATGACGATACATCTGATTAAACTTGTAAAGAGCTACGTTTTTTTTTTTTTGGCTTCCATCCGGCATTTCTTTTTTTTCACCCCCGGCGTTCATGCTATGCTTTTTCAGTATTTGTGACAACTTCTCTGGCCATGTATGGAATTTCTGAATTTTCTGTTTGTAGTACAAGGGACGTTGAGGGATTCCTTATAACTTTATGAACAACTGAGTCTTGATTTGTGAGAGTTATGTTTTTTTTTTTTTATTTAAATGTTCGACATGGAGCCATGGAGGGTTGATGATATTTACTATTTCGATCGTTTGTATTTAGATGACAGGAGTAGGTATGATTGAATTCTTTTTATAGTTCAGCTGCTTGGATGAACTATAGAAGCTAACTCTTTTTTTTTTTTTGGTAAAGGTAATTTTTTCATTTCATCAGCAACTTTGCTGTACATATTTGCAAGCTGTTTTGAACATTGATTCTTAGAGTATCTAGAAATCTAATGTCATCACCACTACCATTCCTATACAAGTGTTTAATCCTCCATTTCAACAAACTTTTCAGCTGCTGTACTCTTTGCTGTACTTTTTCTTCCTTCCCTGCAAACTTTTTTCCCTCCTTTCTTGCCATATAGCATAAATGACTGCATTAAGATCAGTCTGGAACACTTGTTTCCTCAGTTTCCTGTGCTTCCAAATTTTGAGAATTCTTGAAGTATTCAAACCTGTAATCCTTGTGTTAGCCCAACCAATCCAAGATCTCTTTCAGCATTTGTTCAACTACTTCACACTTAAACAAAAGATGATCTAGTAATCCATCTTCCTTTCTGCATAGTACACACTTTTCATCCGCTATATCAACCTGCATTTTCTTCAACCTCTCACAGGTTAAGAGTCTTCCTCTCCATGCCAGGCAACTGATATAGCGATGTTTAGGAATGCTGAATCTGCTCCAAGTTATAGTTGCTGATGGATGCTTCTGCCTTTCACCTCTTAGCCATCGATAAGCTGATTTCATAGAGGACTAAAATCTCCAAATGGTCCCTTACATTTGGGCCTACTTGAATTTACGTCCCTAACATTAACATTTCAATATCGTAGTCTCAAACATTATGTTTTCACGCTTTTTTGGTCCCATTTCACTGTTTTCGGCCGTTGACATGCCGGAATTAGGGGTATTTTTATCTTTTAATTTAATTTAAATTTTTATTAAAATTTAAATCATTAAAAATATTTTAAAATTCAAATTTCATTATTTAATTGTTAAAATATTATTTATTAATTAAAAATATTACTGTACAATTTTAAAATTTATCATTATTTTGAAAATTACTTTTTTCATTTACTATTTACTTTAAATACACAGTAAATGAATAATTATGTTGCACTATTAACTTTGGGCCCGCTGTAACTTAAAAAATTTACCAAGTTACAGTAAATAATTCAAAATTCAATTATTTTTTTTAAAACACAGAAAAAGAAAAAGCAAAACTAAGATTTTTTTTACTCTGACCGTTAGAGTAATCCGTAAATGTTAATTATGTTACACTTTTAACATTGTACCCACTGTAACTTAAAAAATTTACTGAGTTACATTAAATAATTCAAAATTCGATTTTCATTTAAAAAAAAAAGAAAAAACAAAACCAAGATTTTTTTTACTTTGACCGCTACAGTAAACCCTAAATGGTAATTATAATACACTTTTAACCTTGGACTCGCTGTGACTTAAAAAATTTACCGAATTACAGTAAATAATTTAAAATTCAATTTTTTTTTAAAAAAAAAGAAAAGGCAAAACCACGATTTTTATTTACTCTGACCGCTGTAGTAAACCCTAAATGATAATTATGTTGTACTTTTAACCTCGGACCCACTGTAACTTAAAAAATTTACCGAGTTACAGAAAATAATTTAAAATTCAATTTTTTTTCCAAAAAAAGGAAAAAACCAAGATTTTTTTTCTTTGACCGCTACGTTGCTTTTTTAACCTTGGATCCACAATAACTTAAAAAATTTACCAAGTTACAGTAAATAATTCAAAATTTATTTATTTTTTTAAAAAAAAGAAAAAAACAAAACAAAGTAATTGACCGCTACAGTAAACTCTTGTGTTGTACTTTTAACTTTGGACCCGATATAACTTAAAAATTTATCGAGTTACAGTAAATAATTCAAAATTCAACTATAGCAATCAAAGTAAAAAAAACAAAATCTTTGTTTTGCTTTTTTCGTTTTTTTTTAAAAAATAAATTTTGAATTATATACTGTAACTCGA